TTTTGCACATTTTGGTTTCCCTTACAAAATGTATTTATTTGAAATTTGGTTATGCGAGTTGTGTAGGTCTGTGTGCTTATGAAGTAGGCTGTATGTGAAGCATAACCCCCCTTTACTATTCCCACTCTCTCTTCTCGGTATACAGATAGGCAGCCTTTGGTTTTGTTTTTGTAAAAATGGGATCATATTCTGTGTGTTCTCCAATTTGCTCTCCCCACCCCCTTAATGTATCTTGGAGAGTGTCTCATGGAAGTAGTAACTCTATTGCTTTCTTTTGAATGGCCGCATAATTTGTTTGAAACAGATTTATAGAGATACAATTTTTGTACCAAGGTCACCAATTTAAAATGTATAATTCAAGGATTTTTTTTTGTATGGTCACAGAATTGTGCAACCATCACAACAATTGAATTTAGAACATTTTCATCACCTCAAAAGGAAACCCTCGTACACCTGAAACTATTATAATATTGAATGTTAACTGTACTGGTATTAAAATGAAAAAAAAAAAAAACCCAAACCAAAAACAACCAAGAAACCCTATACCCTTTAGCCATCATTCTCCACATCTCCCATTTCCTTTAGTCCTAGGCAACCACAGACCTACTTTCTGTCTCTATACATTTGCCTTTTCTGAACATTTCCTACAGATTGAATCATAATAGGTGGCCTCTTGTGTTCTGGCTTCTCGTACTGTTTTCGAGGTTTACCTGTGTTGTGTGTAGCATGAATAAACACATCATTCTTTTTTTTAATGGCTAAATACTGTTCCACTGTGTGGATATGCCAGAATTTGTTAGTTCATGAGTTGATGGCTGTTTAGGTGGTTTCTACTTTTTGGATGTTATGAATATGGCTGCTGTGAATGTTGGTGTGTGAGTTTTTCTGGTGGCCATGTGTTTTCATTTCTCTTGGGTTACATACCTCGGAGTGGAATTCCTGGGTCAAATGGTGGCTCAATGGTGAACTTTTTGAGGACCCGCCAAACTTATTTCCACAGTGGGTGCCCCATTTTGCATTCTCACTAGCGGTGTGTGAGGCCTCCAATTTCTCCACGTTCTTGCCAACACTTGCTCTTATTTCTGTTTGGTTATGGCCATTCTCATGCCTGGAAAGTGTTTCTCAGGATGGTTTTGGTTGACGTTTCCCAATGACTAATGATATTGAGTGTCTTTGCATGAGCTTATTGTCCATTTGTATATCTTCTTTGGAAAAATGCCTATTCAAATCCCTTTCTCATTTTTACATTATTGGGGCACATGTGTGGCTCAGTTGGTAAGCCTCCAGTTCTTGGTTTCAGCTCAGGTCTTGATCTTGGGGTCCTGGGATCTAGCGCCATGTTGGGCTCTGCTCAGCTTGGAGTCTGCTCCCTCTCTCTTTCCCTCTGCCCCAGCCCCACTTGTGCACACACTCGCTCTCTAAAATAAAAAAAATCTTAAAAAATTATTTTTATTATTGAGTTGTAAGAAACTTTTATTCTAGATACAAGTCCCTTATTAGATAGATGATTTGCAAATATTTCTTCTATTCTGTGAGATTGTCTTTTTGCTTACTTGACAGTGTCCATCGAAGCACAGTAGTTTTTACTTTTGGTGAAGTCTAATTTATTGTGTTTTTTTTTGCTGGTGGTCCTCATGCTTTGGGTGTTCTATCTAAGAATCCATTGCCAAATGCAACGTCATAAAGACTTACTCCTGTGTTTTCTTCTAAGAGTTTTTAAATTTTAGCTCTTACAGTTAGGTTGGTTACTGAACTCATTTATTATATTAGTTTCAATAGTTTTCTTAGTGAATTCCTTAGTATTTTCTTTTTGAAAAATTTAATTAATTAATTAATTTAGAGATTGTCGGTAGGGGGTGGGAACAGGGAGACAATCTCAAGCAGATGGTGTGCTGAGATCACACAGGCTTGATCTCCTCACCCTGAGATCATGATCTGAGCTGAAATCAAGAGTCACTGACTGAGCTAACCAGGTGCCCCTTTAGTATTTTCTATATACACAATCATGTCATCTGTGAATGGAGATACTTTCGCTTCTTTCTTTCCAGTTTGAAGCCTTTTATAATAGTTTTTTTTTTCTTTTTCTTTTTCCTTACTGTTCTGGCTAGAACATCTAGCACAGTGATAAATAGAAATGATGAGAGTGGCTAGTTTTATTCCTTATTTTGTGGACAAAGTATCTAGTTTTCCATTATTATTTTTTAAAAAGATTTTATTTATTTATTTGGCAGAGAGAGAGATCACAAGTAGCCAGAGAGGCAGGCAGAGAGAGAGGAAAGCAGGCTCCCCGCTGAGCAGAGAGCCCAATGCGGGGGCTCAATCCCAGGACCCTGGGATCATGACCTGAGCTGAAGTCAGAGGCTTAACCCACTGAGCCACCCAGGCAGCACTAGTTTTCCATTATTAAGAATATTATTACGTGTGTGTGTTTATTTTTATTTATTTATTTTTTAAAGATTTTATTTATTTGGCAGACAGAGATCACAAGTAGGCAGAGAGGCAGGCAGAGAGAGAGAGAGGAGGAAGCAGGCTCCCTGCTAAGCAGAGAGCCCGATGTGGGGTTTGATCTCAGGGCCCTGGGATCATGACCCGAGCCGAAGGCAGAGGCTTTAACCCACTGAGCCACCCAGGTGCCCCACGTGTGGTTTTTTGTAGCTGCCCTTTTTCATGTTGAGGGACTTCCCTTCTATCTAGTCCCCCCCCCCTAATTTCTAATCAAGAAGGGTTTGGAGTTTTGTCAGATGCTTTCTTTATGTCTGTTGAATTGACAATATGGTTTTTGTTTTTATTCTGTTTGTCTGGTGTATTATAGGCATGGATTTTTGCATAAACCAACTTTACCATAATAAATCTCACCAGGTCACAATGTGTAATTCTTTTTATACATTGTTGGATTTGGTTTGCTGGTGTTTTTGAGTATTCGTAAGCTATATAGGTCTGTAGTTTTCTTATGATGTCTTTGGTTTTGTTGTGGGGGTAATGCTAGCCTCCTATAATAAGTTGGGAAGTGTTCCTTCTCCTATTTTAAGATGTTTTTTTAAAAAAAGATTTTATTTATTTATTTGACAGAGAGGTCGCAAGTAAGCAGAGAGGCAGGCAGAGAGAGAGAGGGAAGCAGGCTCCCTGCTGAGCAGAGAGCCCAATGACAACGCGGTGCGGTACGGGGCTTGATCCCAGGACCCTGAGATCATGACCTGAGCCGAAGGCAGAGGCTTAACCCATTGAGCCATGCAGGCACTACTGAAGTTTCTGAGGAACTAGTATTAATTCTTCTTTAATGGCAGAATTCACAGCTGAAGCCATCTGGACCTGGGCTTTTCCTTGTGTAGCTTCTTGATTACTAATTCAGTTTCTTTATTTATTATAGATCTTTTTAGATTTTCCATTTCTTAGAGTCATCATTGGTAGTTTGTGTGTTGCTAGAAATTGTCCATTTCATCCAAGCCATTTAATTTAATGGGACCCAGTTGTTCATACTATCCGAACGTAGCTCACTGTAACGAAATGCTGCTTCAGGGAACGTCCATCCTTTTGCTCACACGGAAGCGTGCTTATAGCACAGATCCCTAGAAATGTAATCACTGGGTCAGATGTCTGCGTGTGTAATTGTTGATTGTTTCTGCCCTTTTGTCCTCTTCCTGCTCATCTTTCTAGCCCTATTGATTTGTATAAATTCTTTCTGTCTAGGAATCTTGGTCTCCTGGAGACTGGAGTTGGTAAGGGTGCACAGAGCCAGTGGGAAAGATAGGTTCAGGAGTCGTGTGTTTCTCGGCTGCTTCTGGTTAAGGATGCTCGATGTGGGGGCCTGAAGCTTGTCTTCCATGCTGTACATTCCCACAGGGGGTTTCCAGACTCTGAGAGCCGAACTGCTGGGGGTCAGAGACTGTTGCCTCCAAAAGGCCAACTGTGGCCTGAAGGGTGCTCATTTGAAGCCAGGGGACTCCACAAAGATCCTTCCCATGGTGGCTTTCTCTGGGAATTCTGTGGGCAGGGGTCTCTAGGTAATTCTGGCCCATTGCTGACTGCAGAGGAAGGGAGGGACGCTCTTCCTCCACATGAAGTGACAAGGACCTCCTTGTTTTTCATCATCACTGCTTTCTTTCCTTTCCTATTCATCTTAGGACTGTGTTCTGGGTGCTCATTAACTCATGGCTTGCCAGGGCCCAGATGTGGGCAGTGATGCTAAGGCAAGAAAGTGTAGCTATTTTTATGGAAGGGGAAGTGGGGAAACTGCTGAGAGATCTCTGCGTGGGTTTTGTTAGGGTAGAGCTTCTGGCCCCTCACCCCTCTGTTCCATTTCCTTTTTCTGCTTTTTGAATTTACCTGGAGTTTACAAGGAGGGTGCCAAAGCAGGTTAAACGTTTGGACTTTCATAGTTGGAGATTTTTCGAATAATCTGTCCAGGTCCCTGGAGGCTCCACTTCAGTGGTTTCCAGGCTTTGCTCACAACCTCTAGGGTCCCAAAGAGCTGCCTTGGGGACAGGGGACCGGGATGGGCACCGTAGGAGCTCAAGCCTCATGGCTGCTCTGGCCAGAGGGGCTCTGCTTCTACTGGTTTTATATGTTGGAGTTCTAAGTGAGGTTGGAGACAGGAGGGCCGTGTGGCCACAAAAGTTTGGGAAACTACTTGTGTTGGACACCTTAAGCCCACCGTTGGGATGAAAAACATCCCAAACAGGACTCCTCCTGGAGACTGAATCCAAGGGTTGACAGGTGTTTTAGGGAACTTGACTTTTCCCTGGGGCTCCACAGGCTCCTCTCTCTTGACAGAGACTGAGTGCCTGCTCTCCCCAGGGCCATTTGCCAGCTTGGGCGCATGTAATTTTTTCTTCTGTTAGGGGGTGTTCTGGCCCGCCAGCCCTGCAAAGGCAAAATCAAATTACCTTCTGATTCAAATGACTCTTGTCTCCGGGGAAGCCCTGGGCTAGGCCTGCAGAAAATTGGCGAGGAGATTTTCTCAGCAGACCTCCAAGCTGATGCAACCTCTTTGTGTCTTTCAGTCGGCGGAGTTCTTCGAGATGCTGGAGAAAATGCAGGTGAGCATCCCAAAGTGGGGAGGCCAAGCCCTGGGTTGGGGGGTGGGCGTGCTGCAGTGACCGTGCAGGCAACAAAACCAGGCAGAACATGGGAGCCTTGGAGGGAGGGGCAGAGAAGAGTGAACCGCCAGCCTGATGGCTGGGACTACCTCAGGCCATTTTTTGTGTTGAGTGGCACCGAGGATTCTGGGAAGGCTCCTGCCTGAAGATGGGGAGAAGACAGAAAGCAGAACCCCTCCAGCAGAGCAGATGTGGGTATACCCCCACAGATGTGGGGAGGGCTTGAAATGGTCCATTGTTCCTGGAATGGGTGGGAAAGAAAGTCTGAAAAAGAAAGCCCTTTCTAAAAGGGGAGGTCATCTTGTATCTGGGAGGCAGAACGGAGGGGGAGAGACCCACTAGAGGTCAAACCCGCACCTAACACTCGCTAGCACAAGTTCCTTCCCTTTTCTGAGCCTCTGGCTCCTGTTTTCTGTCTACTCACAGCACTATTTTCACCTCCCTCCGACACCAAATGTGTGGTGGTTTTTCCCCCACCAAGCAATTCTGTGACACCAGCTGGGTGTCCTACAGTCAACTCCATTCTGACTTCTGATCCCACAGGGCAAGGGCTCTGCCCCACAGGTCGCCTCCTCTCCACTTTCGACGCCAGTCATTAGTCCGTTATCACCTGTGTTTCTGACCAACAGGCTATAGATTTGAGGTTCCCCTGACCCCCTGCTCAGGTTCGGTTAGTTTGCTAGAGTGGCTCACAGAACTCAGAACAGTTTACTTACTGGATTATCAATTTACTATAAAGGGATATGATTCAGGAACAGCCAGATGGAAGAGTTGCAGGGAGCCAGGTGTGTGGAGGGAGGGGAAGAGCTTCCTCGACCTCAGGATGCACCTGTCTCCCTGCACCGCCATGTACTCACCAACTCAAGCTCTCTGAGCCTATCATTTGTTTTTTTATGGAGGCTTCAGTACTTAGGCATGATTGGTTCAAACTCCCGGGAGGTTGGAGGGGTGGGACTGCACCTTCCAACCCTCTAATAGTGGTCGGTTCCCTGGGCATCCAGCTCGTCCTCAGCGGTGTCCCAGAAGGCACCTCTTTAACAAAGGAATAACTTTGGAGCTTTCACCTTTATGGCCCTGGAGCTGTTTCAGGAACCAAGTACAAAAGATGAAGGATTATAACAAAAGATGCTTCCAAACGCTCCCATTGCTCTCATCGCTTAGGAAATTCAAAATACATGTGCTAGGGACACCTGGGTGGCTCAATCGGTGAAGCGTCTATTTTAGGAACTCTGTGCCAGGAATGGGGTGAAGACCAAAATATTGATTATTACAAATTATGCCACAGCCCCTCTAAATAATAATTTTAAATACCCACTTACAGAGTTGTTGGGATAAAATAATATATGTCAATACTTGCTAGGCACTGCGGAAAAATCAGTGTTCAAAATGGATTTGGGGGCCTTTCTAATCACCCCTCACCAAGGGGCCAGGGCTCATAGGTAAGAACTACTGCCCTGTGGAGTATGGGGGTGGGGTGGTGCATCCGGAAGCCTTAACTGATGTAAGTGGGAAGGATGAGAAGACGATGTGGACAAGAGCACATGTATTTTTTTTTTTAAGATTTTATTTATTTAGTGGGAGTGAAAGGATGGGGAGGGGCAGAGGTAGGAGAGGAAGAGAGAATATCGAAAGCAGACTGTGTGTTGAGCATGGAGCCCAGTGCAGGGCTTGATCCCACGGCCCTGAGATCATGACCTGAGCCGAAATCAAGAGTTGGACGCTTAACTGACTGAGCCAGCCAGGTGCCCCAACAGCACAAGTATTTTTTTTTTTTAAAGATTTTATTTATTTATTTATCAGAGAGAGAGAGAGTGAGCAAACATAAACAGGAGAGTGGCAGGCAGAGGCAGAGGCAGAGGGAGAAGCAAGCTCTCTGCTGAGCAAGGAATCCTCCCCTCACCCCGGTGAGAGACTTGATCCCAGGATCCTAGGATCATGACCTGAGCTAAAGGCAGACGCTTCACCGATTGAGCCACCCAGGTGTCCCTAGCACATGTATTTTAAGCACTTTTCTCAGCTCAGACACTTGCAAGTGTTATCCCCTTTCTTCCTGGTGAAACCCATAGGAAGCAGCTCTATTATCGCCAATGTCCCCTTTTCACAGGTAAGAAAACTGAGGCACAGAGGTCTTGCTTAAAGCACTCAAGCGCTCATGGGTAGCAAGCAGTTTCCGAGCCAGAAGTCTTAGCCGTTATGAAGCTGTTTGCCCTAAGTAGATGGTACCAGCTCAAGGAAGGAAGGAAGGCTCTGTGGCAATGGTCTGGAGGCGCAAGAGGAGAGGCAGATAGGGTCCTGAGGTGCAGGGGGAGCTCCTGAGGTGTGCACAGGGAAGCCAGGTCTCCCTAGCCCTGGGGAAGTTCAGAAACCATTGGAGGGAAGAATCCTGCTGCTAACGGTTGTGCCATTGTCACGAACAAGTGACTAAGAGCCTCCTCTGGGCCCAGCAGTGTGTGGACTGCACACTAACTTTATAGACATTTAGGGACCTTGGTCAGGTTATGGAAAGAGGATTGGCATGCGCTTTGACAGCAAGTGGTGGGAGCTGGCGTGTAATTACGTGCTCAGCTGCCTGGAGTAAAGCGGGGATTTTCACCCTGAGCCCTCGAAATCCCAGCTTTCGGGGAAGCTGGCGGGGGATTTGCGGCTTCCCTGGCCTTCTCTTCATTTGTTCCCACAACCCACCAGTCCCTCACCCCCATCTGGAGACCCCAGCCCCCCCACAAAGAGCTCTCTGTTTGAGCACATAATTCAGCCTCACTTAACTGGCCTCCATTGCTTCTGTTACTACACTGCTGGGCTTGACTTCTCAACCAGATTGCGACCCTCTTGAGGGCGGGGGTCTGGCGTCTAGGCTCCCTCTGTATGTTTGTAGCAGCGGACCTCCAAGGGTCTGCCCATTCCATCTCTGTTGAGACGGCCAGGGACTGAAAAACTTCCCTGGCCTCCAAGAGGCCCACAGTTCCAGCTCCTCTGATGGACAAAACCTTACATATGGGGAAATACTGGGAGTGAAGCAGGTGGCATGGTGTGGCCACATCCCGTGCTTGGGTGTGGGTGCCACCGCTTCCAAGGCTGTGGCTGTGGACACTGAGTCTCAGAGGCATCAAGTGCTCTGTGAGTCATGGTGAGCTGAAACTCAGATCTGGGGCTCCTGACTCCCTATCTGAGAGTGGAGGAATTGGAAGAGGGCATAATCTCTATGAAGCAACGTGGACTAAGTAGACAAGCTTTGGGTCCATTTGGTCCTGGGTTCCAAGTTTTAACCCTGACACTGTCTAGCTGAGTGTCCTTGGTCAAGTGGCTTTAGCTCTCTGGTCCTCAGTTTCTTCATGGTAGGGAAAAAGGGGGATGATGACAATGCTGATTGCAAAGGCAGACCCACGGAGGGGAGAGGGCCCAGAGCTGGGCGTGGCTCTGTTGTCAGGGAGGGAAGGGGAAGGGAGGAGGTTTGCTTTTCTGCCCAGGGGCTGTTCCCAGGTATGGGTGACTAATGCAGGACAAATAAAACAAACTCCTGACATCACCCCCTTCCCCATCTGCCCAGTTTGCTTCCCTGGACAGGATCTGCTGGGCCACCCAGGTGGTTATCTCCCCGTGTGGGGAGAGGAGCACCTGTCCAGTGGGAGGGGTCCTCCCACACCCTCCTGAGCAATGCTGCAGAGTGACTCAGCCTGGAGAAGTCCGGAGATACTGAAGTCTAAATCCAGCCAGTGGGCAGGAGCCCTGGGCTCAAGGGCCTGTGGGATAAGATAGTGCACTTGGACGGACAGCCTGGCTTCAAATCCAGGCCCTGCCACTCACTAGCTGTGAAATCTGAGAAGCAGTCTGCTCCCTGTGCCTCAGTTTCCCTTTGGTATAAATGTGCCAAGGGCTTCATAGGAGACAACAGTGGGAAGTTGCTGAGGAAGCTTAAAATCCCCATGTTATGATTAGGGTGGTTTTCTCTCCTAGTTGTCCCACCACTTTATACCCTTATTTAATTTATTCAGTCTTACTTAATGTACTCACTTATTTAATCTACTCATGTGCTCCCCTCTTGAAAAAAACCCAGTTAAGTCAGACCTTGACCATAGGAACACTGGCCAAGGCACTGCTTCCCAGAAGCGAATGAGCCCCAGGCCCCCCGCCTGTCACCTGTGGGTTTTCACCCCAGTGAGAGAGAGGAGCTGTGGAGGCACTGGGTCCAGAGTGCTGGCTTCAACACCATTCAGACATGGGTTCCCATCCTTGCCCCTCACCTCCTGGTTCTAAGGGCCTGGCAGAGAGAGACTTCAGTGGCAGGATGATACTTCTGCCTGGTGATAATGACCAAAGCAAAACCAGTCACTCTTTCAAGGGCTGAATGCATCCTCAGCGTTTAACCTTGACTCCAGCAGTAGCTGCTACTACCATTCCCATTTTGCAGATGGGAACACTGAGCCACAGAGGTTTGGGACTTGCCCAGGGTTGTAAGTGGCAGTATTGGGACTTGAGCCCTCGTGATCTCGCTTAAGTCTGGGCTCTTCCCTGCCTCTCCTCCTGCCTTACTTGGAGCTGCCGTGAGGACTGAATATGACAAGGCATGTGATGTGTAAGCACCTGGCACATATCCGCTGTCATTGTTATTACCAACCCTATCAAGGCAGGTGCTTGAGAATCCCAAGGGAACCCTCCATTTGCCCCCTGTTTTATGACCTTTTCTTTCCCATGGATCCTCTTTTCCTTGTCTCCACAGGGGATCAAGCTTGAAGAGCAGAAGCCGGGCCCCCAGAAGAACAAGGTGGGCTGTGTGGATGAGGTGGGAGGGAGCCTGGTGGGCCCGGCATGGGGACGGTTGGCATGCTGGGGTCTGTAGGCTGCCATCTGCCTTTCACCAAGAGCTCCTTAAGTGGGTGTGCCCGTGTCCACGGGTGCACAGTGGGCAGTAGGAAGGCTCTGGCTTGATGCCTTCAGGGCAGCCTTACAGTGGCCTGGGGTGGAAGCCTCGGGTGAGACCTAAGGCCTATGGCTCAACCCAGCCCTTCTGTACCTGCTTCTGCAAACGAACTGCACATGGCATTTCATGGCATCAGGCTTTGGGCTCCAGCAGCTCTCAGCTTCAGTTTCCTATCCCGAGGCCTGGGGTTGGGGGCTGGGCAGCTCATCACTTAGAGGTCAGCTCCCTTGCCTGAAGGGATCAGGGGTCATCTTCCTGTTAAAGCTTCCTAAGGGGTGAAGCTGATGTCAGGAAAGGTGTGAAATTCATAGCCTTTATGTACCGAGTCTCTAGCTATGAGTCTCTAGCTAGGCAGGTTTGTGCTCCGGGTCTGTCAGTCTGGGGAAGCATCAAGGGAGGCCAGGTCCCAGAGCATCTCTGCTGTTCTTGATCTGGTGTTATTCTCTTTGATGCTCTCAAAGCTCTGGCGTAGCCTGACAGGCACCCTCAACCCCCCGGCCTGGGAGAGGGGAATGGAAGTAACCTTCAAACTTCACAAGCGCTGCTGGGGCTAACGGCAGCCTTGTCTGATTGTCTTGCAGGATGACTACATCCCGTACCCCAGCATTGATGAGGTAGGAGCCCCCTGGCCCCACTGTGGCCTGCCCTGGGTCTCATCTCTGGGGTAGGGCTGGGCGAGCTGGTGGTGCTGATGGTCCCTGCTCCACACGATGTGGGAGAGGACCTCAGGCCTGAGACTGTAGCTCTGTGGCCTCAGTTTTGTTGTATTCAGATGGGGTGCTTCTCGAAGCCTTGTAACTCTGGTCCAGCGTCGGTGAAGCTGGCAGATGTTGTTGGGCTTAAATTTGGGGTTTGTGTTACTGTATCTGGCCTCAAATACAGGGGTCTTCACCTTGGAGCAGTTCAAAGGTGGGGGGTATATACCACCTGCAACCTTCCTGTCCCTTCCCCCTGTAAAGCCAGGGCAGGCCTCAGTGTAAGACCTTCTCTCTTGCCTCAGGTTGTGGAGAAGGGAGGCCCGTACCCCTTGATTGTCCTGCCCCAGTTTGGGGGCTATTGGATCGAGGACCCAGAGAATGTGGGGACGCCGACCTCCCTTGGCAGCAGCATCTGTGAGGAGGAGGAAGAGGACAGTCTCAGTCCCAGCACATTTGGCTATAAGCTCGAGTGCAAGGGCGAAGCCAGGGCCTACCGCAGGCACTTCCTGGGGAAGGTGAGGCTGAGGGCCCCACGCCAAAGCAGTTGAGGGCGGGGAGGGAAACCCGCCTGGGCCGGCCTCCTCCAGCATCCCTGTCTCTGTCTCTCCTCCTTCCGTGGCCTTCCCCCTCCCTAGGCCCTGCTGCTGTCCTGCCATCCTGGGAAAGTCTGATTAGTGCTACTCCTGGGTTGGGGGACGGGTGTGCAGAAGTCAGGAGGGCTCAGAGAGATGGGTCCTTGGAGGCACCGCTCCCAGCAGATGTTCTCGGAGGTGATGGGATGGGTAGTGTTGGCGGGTGAAGGAGGGTGAAGGAGAAAATGTGTTCTTACACCTTGGAAGTCTTTGTCTCCATGTAAGTCGTCCAGTCTCGCCTGTCCTCACTCCAGCAGTCCCCAGGGCACTTGTTCTGGATGATGCAGTGTGAGCCTCTGATTGCTTATAAGTGACAGTCGCATTTCTCTAAATACATTCTGCTCTTCAGACTTGCCTGGTTCCCGAGGGCAGGTTCTGGAAGTCTCTAGCCTGAGGCAGTTTCGCAGAGTCTCATCTGCATGGTCCAATTCAGACTCCAGGGCCCCACGCTGATACGGCAGGTCTGCGGTAGGCTCCCTGAGCCTTAGAGAGACCCGCTGTCCAGAGGACCTCCTAGCTCCTCATGGGTGGAGGAGCCGGGGGCCTCCTAGCTTTATTCCTGCAAATGGTCTGAATCAGTGAGGGCTACCCCCTGGGAGCAAGGAGGTGGATGGGTGGGGTCCTTGGAGAAGAGTTTGAGCATTAGCATTCAAGGTGGACTTGAGTGCTGGATCTGTCCCTTCCTGGTTGTGTGACCCTGGGCAGTTACTTAACTGGCTTACTTCTGTGTGAAATGGGGATGATGATGTCATCTCCCCCATGAAGTTGTGGTTAAGATTAAAGGAGTCAATGTGCCTTAAGTCCTTAGTCCATTGCCTGGCGCACCCCAACGACTGTTGGAATCTATTCCTGTGATCTTGCTCCTTCCTCCTTGTCCTCCTCCCCTCCTCTTCCTCCTCCTCAGCAGCAGCCATAGCAGAAGCATCCTCGTCTTTCCTCCTCGCTGCTGTGGGGCTTCTTGCTCCTGGGGAAGGAGGGGATTTGGGGGGCCATGTCTGGAAGGTCCCCTCCTGCCTACTAATACCTGATTTCTGTTTCTAGGATCACCTAAACTTTTACTGTACTGGCAGCAGTTTGGGGAACTTGCTCCTGTCCATCAAGTGTGAGGAGGCGGAGGGCATCGAGTACCTTCGGGTCATTCTCAGGTGGGGCTGCTGTGCCTTTGGAGGCCACGCCTCTAGTGGCAGGGACCCAGAAATACCCGTCTGACCAGTCTGGTCTGGGTGTGCTGGCGGGGAGCCCACTGACTGGAGTCCCGGGGCTCCGTTCTGGCTGCCAGGCCAAGAGACCAGGTGTTTCTGTCAGCCAGTGGACTGTGGGAGTTAGAGGGGTATCCTAGTCTCAAGGTCACCTAGACCAACCCCCACCTGCCTTTCTGTCGTGTGGGGACCGTGGCTCTGAAGGAGTTGGGAAGAGAAACTTGAGCTGGCTCATTCCAAGTCGTCCTGGGAGAGGGTTTGCTAGAACACTGCCTGTGGTGCGCGTCCCATCATGAAGATATGTCCTGAAGCTTCTCTGTGTGTGCTGGGCTCCTCGGGATGGAAAAGTGTTCCCAGCGGGAGCACCGTTTTATAGCTAAGCCAGGGTATCTCTCTTGGTTCAAGGGCAGGAGTGAGACCTGGTGTCCGTTTTGTTCCACTAACATGTTTTGTAAAACCTCCTTTGCACCAGGAAGCATCATGAGGGCTGGAGATGCAATGATGACTGAGTGGAGATCTGTTTTCTAAAGGCTTCTGGTCTAATGGGAGAGAAAAAACAGAGGATTTTAGTATGTGTCACAGGTATTATTTTAGCGATAGGCACAGGATGCTGTGGGAACACAGAGAGGCTGTATCTTGTTTATCTCTGTCCCTGGTGGGCTGGTGGAAAAGCCTGGGAGGCCACATGTTAGTGCTCAGCGAAGTGCTATGAACCTGTTAAGCTCCCAGTCTATAGTTGTTGAATCTAATTGGAAGTCCTTGATGGTGTTTGGAAAAAGCAATAACATTTTTTGTCTGCCCAGATTTTGAGATAAAATACGGGAGGGAGCAGGGGCACATATCTGTGCTGTGGGGGAGGTGTGTGTGTGGGGGAGGGCAGGGTACAAGGATGTTGCCAGCACCCGTCCAATCTTGGTTTTTTATTAAGAAAGGAAACAGTTTTCTTTACTGAGGTTTACTTGGCTAGCAAAATCATATTTGCAAGGCAAGGAGAAGGTAGTAACTAAATTGTTAGAGCAAATTTTTTTGAGGGAGTAATATGTGGATCCCCATCTCCAAATAGGATTTCAAGCTAGGTGAATCTCTGTAAGGAAAATTATTTCTTTTCTTAGTAAAATCAGATTTCTGAGTAAGATGACAATTGAACACAAGGTTCTAACTCCTTTTTTCTAATATTATATCCTATCTGAAATGCTGCTTCAGAACTGAAAATTAGAGAAAGATGTCAGGAACACAACACACACTTTGAATATTTTAAGAAATAATTTACAGGGCAGTTAGGACTATAATGTGGACAACACTGAGAGTTAAAATCCAGCTCACCTTCCTTAGATAGCAATGTAGCATGGGAATATATGAAATTGGAGGTTCTGGGGGAGTCAGGACTCTTTCCACATGGAACCACTTTTTTGTTTTGGGTCACCAGCATTTAAAATCGATCCCCTGGGGAGCCCAAGGGCAAGCTCAAGTGTGGCTTTCCGAAATAGAAAACCAGTGAGTAGGGTGGCAGGGAGAAGCCATACACCAGCTAGGAAGTTGGACAATCATATCATGTACTTGGGGTGATGGCCAGGCCGGATTGAAAACCAGACATAAAAAAATTGGCCCTACAGCTTTAGAAGCTTTACCAGACACAAAGAAGAAATTATACAGAGGCGAAACTCCCTCGCTGGCAGCGACTCTTGTCCCGGCATCTTCCTCATTCCCTGTAGGCTTCTAGATTATTTAACTGGTGTTTTAAGAGAACCAGCTCTCCAGCTTAAAATCCGAGAAGAGTATTCTGACAGCCTCTGTGTGTGCTATGAGAGTAGCCAAGAGGAGTTTATCCACTACTGGAAATGAATAACATTCAATCATCAACAAAGATTTCTTCTTTTTCAAGCTTAGATATAAAGAAGAAGTAGGGAAAAAAACCCTCACAGGTTACTGAAAGAAAAGATTCTGCATTGAAAAAAGCATAACCTAGTATTTAGAAGGTAGGGAAATGACCAAATTTTAGGAAGGATTTACTACAGAAAGCCAAGTAAAATTTAGATGTCTATTAACTTTGTATTTTCAGCAAACTTCCAGAAAAAAAAAACAAAACAAAACTGTATGAAAGAAAAGACAAAAGATAAAATAGGACAGCAGAATGAGATGAAAAATTGCTGGTTAAATTAAGGAAAGAATATAAGAAAACTGAAAGTGGTCAAAAGAATTTTAAATGGTTTTAGAAGCACTAAAGAGCAGAGTCTAGTTTGTGGAAAACCCAGTTAGTAATATTGAGAGCAAGTTTGAGAGGCTTTCACATAATTCAGAGGAAAACACAACTCTAAAATGATGAGCAAAATTGTAATGAATAGGGAGGACAGGGAGCAGGAATTAAACATGTGGATAATTGATGTTCTTTAGCTGATTGAAGATTTAACTCTGCAGATCAAAATGATTCACCTAGTATCAGACAAAATGAGTGAAAGAGAACTAAAAGCTGAACATATTTTGATGAAAATGTAGTATTTCATGGATATAAAATCACTGGTAGAATGAAAACCTTCCAAAATAAAGGAAGATAAAGAAAACATTTATATGTAAAAGAAGATAGGAAATAAAGAACCATAAATAAATAAAATGGAAGTCTGAGTACATGTGACATATAATAAATATAAATGAGGGAAATTCCACTATTAAATAGCAAAGATTCTCAGTTTGAGTCATCCCTTCATCCTCCCCCCACCCCACTAATCAATCAATCAATGTATCTGTATTTTATTGAAGAAAGTAACTAAGTTTACTAAAGAAAGTAACTCAACAAAGAAAAGTGTTGAGAAAAAGTTATCGCAAATATAAAAAGGTAGCACAGTTGGTGGTATTAATATGAAAAAGTAGAATTTGAGGGAAAAAAAGCAATCAGTGTAACAAAAAGGGCTATCATCTATTCATAGAAGATAAAGTCTTGTTCAATCAGGGCTTAATACATGCCAGACTTTGTCCAGGGATGGAACTAATGTAAGGAATTAGCTCATCTCTTGTTACTTGGCTACAGAAAACATTCAATATGGATTAGGTATTCTTACTCCTGTTCTCATTCTCACTTATCGTCTTCTTATGGACATGGATTATTTTAGTCTAGTGACGGTGATCCAAAGATAGATGGATGGGAGAACAGAAAGAAGTTTATAAGAGCTTGAATGTGGAGTGTGTGTCTGTGTGTGTGTCTGTGTGAGTGTACATAAGGTTGAGAGGTCATGCTGGAGAGGCAAGGAAAAACGAAATCCTCTCTGGACCATGTCTAGGAACTTAGATTTTCTTTTATGAGCCAGAGGAGAGCTCCTGAAAGGGGAATGTCATGATATGATTTGCACTGTAGAATGATCACTGGCTAGAGTAAGGGGAATGTCTTGGAGGGAAGGCAAGGCCAGAAGCAGGAAGCAGGAAGTGACAGCCTGCTGTGAAGGGTCAGCTGTTATGTGATTAGACAGGCCACCAGGTTGCATAAGGTGTTTGCAACCAGTTCTGATGGGAAGTGGATCAGAGTGCCTTGCACTGAGGATAGAGAAAAATGGATGGAAACTTCCAAAACACCCAGGGAAAATTGACATTAAGAAAGACAGCTGAGGGGTACCCAGGTAGCTCAGTTGGTTGTGTCTGCCTTTAGTTCAGGTCGTGATCCCAGGATCCTGGGCTTCTCTCTCCCTCTGCTGGTGCTCTCACATGCGCTCACTCTAAAATGAATAAATAAATAATCTTAAAAAAAAAAAAAGCTGAAAATATCAACAAATGAACTGGTTTCACTGCTAATGAAATGCAAATAATGGTATACTTTCAAATGACTTAAATATACTTAATATCTGAAGGAGATAATAGCAACTGTAAAAGGGATAATAAATTATGATATATTGAATGAGTGGATGAATCAAGAATGGATACACATGGGTACAAAATGAAAACAGTTGGAATTATGGGAAATAAAACAGTTGAAATTGAAAACCTCAATACATGGGATAAAATCTAGTCTCATATAATCGGTTTGGAATTAAGGCGTGAATCCATGCATTGGAACATAGTCTCAAAGAATTCAGTCAGAGTACAGTGCAGATAAAGTGAGGAAATACGTGAAAAAGAAAGAATATGTGTGGATAATAGACTGATAGCTTTTGTTGTAGAGTCTCAGAGGGAAGAGGAGAAAATCAGTGGGGAAGAGATATCTAAAGAAATAATGGCTGGTGGGGCACCTGGATGGCTCAGTGGGTTAAGCCTCTGCCTTTGGCTCAGGTCATGATCTCAGGGTCCTGGGATGGAGCCCCCGCATCATACTCTCGGCTCAGCAGAGAGTCTGCTTCCCTCTCTCTCTCTGCCTGCCTCTCTGCCTGTGATCTCTCTCTTTCTCTATCAAATAAATAAAATCTTTAAAAAAAAGAAAAGAAATAATGGCTGGGAATATTTCAGAATGGAAGATAGCACCACACTGTGGTGCTGAGCATGATTTTAAAACAAAGAAGTACTACTGGACACATTGAAGTGAAGCATTAGAACGTCTAAGGGAAAGAGAACATTTTTAAAGCTTCCTAAGAATAAAGACACTCCTCTATGAAGTGATGACAACCTGGCTGAGAGCAGGCTTCTTATCAGCCATGGGACAATAGGACAGTGTCTTTAAAATGTTGGAGGAAAGAAAGAAAGGAAAGAGGAACAGAAAGAATCCTTTAACCTAAAATTCTATACCCAGAGAAGCTCTCTGCAAACACAAAGTCAAACTGTTTTCAGACAAGAGAATTTCAGGCTATCCCTGAAAGAATTACTAAAAGATGTACTTCAGCCAGAAGAAAAGAGAAACCAGATGAAAAGATGTTAAAAAGTGGCAAGGGTGCCTGGGTGGCGCAGTTGGTTAAGTGTATGACTCTTGGTTTTGGCTCAGGTCAGAGTCATGGACTTGAGTCCCATGTCAGGCTCTGTGATCAGCGAGGAAGACTCTACTGCTTAGGATTCTTTCTCCCTCTGCTCCTTTCGCTCATGTGTGCGCATACTCTTTCTCTCTCTCAAAATAAATAAATCTTAAAAAAAATAAAGTGGCAAGAAATAGGTCAACTGTGTTGATAAATTTAATTACTGAGGAGGGAAAAAGAATTAGTTTTTGTGTGTTTAAAAAGAGGCTTGACTTGGAACGACGTGGATGGAACTAGAGCTAAGTGAAATGTCATCAAAATAAGACAATTATCATATGATCTCATGTGGAATTTAAGAAACAAAACAGGATCATAGGGGAAGAGAGGAAAAAAAATAAGACAGAATCAGAGAGGGAGACAAACCATAAGAGACTTAAAAAAATGATTTTATTTATTTATTTGACAGAAACAGACACAGCGAGAGAGGGAACACAAGCAGAAGGAGTGGGAGAGGGAGAAGCAGACTTCCTGCCAAGCAGGGAGCCCGATGTGGGGCTTGATCCCAGGACCCTGGGATCATGACCTGAGCCAAAGGCAGACGCTTAACGACTGAGCCACCCAGGCGCCCCCCATGAGACTTTTAATCATAGGAAACAAACTGAGGGTTGCTGGAGGTAGGAAGGATGATAGGGAGGGAAGAGTTCACTAGGAAGTGGGAAGGATGATTGGAAGGACAGAAGTAGGAAGGACCATAGGGAGGGAAGAGTTCACTGAGTTACTATTTCCTCTTCCCTCCTCAGAAGAGACACAGCAAGGTAAGTTTAGAGTTTGTTAGAAAAATGTATAAAAATGTGTATTGGAAGTTATAGACATATAATCTGCAGCTCAAACTAGCAGAAGGATAAGGAGAATTTTTTTTATTAAATTAAACTGAGGGCAGGAAAGGAGGAGTTTTAAAAAGGAAAGAAAGCACAGAATAATAGAAAACATAAAATAATAGATATAATTCCAAATATATTAGTAATCACAATAAATTTAAATAGATTAATTTACCATATGAATATACCAGACTAGCAGACTAAAACTGAACTAAATTTACAGCTATATTCTTCCTCCCACCTTTGCCATTCTTTTTAAAAATTAAGTTTGTTTTAATTCCAGTATTGTGAATATACTGTGTAATGTTAGTTTCAAGAGTATAATATAGTTACTCAACAATTCCTTCCATTACTCAGTGCTCATCACGACAAGTGCACTCCTTAATCCCCATCACCTATTTCCCCCCATTCTTCCCCCCACGCCCCCTCTGTTCACCATCAGTTTGTTCTCTGGAGTTAAGTGTCTGTTTCTTGGTTTGTCTCTCTCTCTCTCTTTCCCTTTGCTCATTTGTTTTGTTTCTTAAATTCTACATATGAGTGAGATCATATGTTATTTGCCTTTCTTTGGCTTATTTCACTTAGCATTATGCTCTCTAGCTCCAACCATGTCATTGCAAATGGCAAGATTTCATCCTTTTCATGGCTGAGTAATATCCCATTGCACAGATTCTTTATACATTCATCTATCAGTGGACACTTGGGCTGTTTCCGTAACTTGGCTTTTGTAAATAATGCTACAATAAACATAGGGGTGCATCCCTTTGAATTAGTGTTTTTGTATTTTTTGGGGGTAAATAACCCAGTAATGCGATTACTGGATCATAGGGTTTATAGCTCTATTCTTCTTATAAGATACATACCTAGAGAAAAATAATGTTGAAAGATTTCAAATAAAAGAAATGGAAAATATACGCTGGGAAAATCCTAACCAATGCTTCCAGGTGGTATAGCAACAATAATATTACACAAAATAGAATTTCAGGAACAAAGAATTAGTAAGGGTAAAGGGAGTATATTCCTTTGTAGCTTGGAAATAACTTCTCCCCACTCTTGATATTTCCTCCTGTATGGAAGGAATACTTCTGTGTTAACACCCCTGACTCTCTCTGCCTTCTCTGATCGGTGGGTTAGGGAGCAAGAACTTGACATATGTAGCCCTTTCTGTTTTTCCTATTGGAATTGGCTGCCCACAGCATATACCCTCCACTCCTCTGTGCTGGAGGCCCCACCTGAGCCAACCCCCTCCAGAGGAGGCTTGCCTCTTGCCTGGCAGCACCTGGGACCTGAAGGACAATCCTGGGGTTTAGTTAGAAGACCCATTTCATCTGTACACTAAAGTGGGTGACTTTTATCAGGAACGAAGGAGTTACTTTGACTTCTAATCACCTTGCTCTTAATTTTTTTGTTTCTGAATCTGTTCCTTACCTGGGTGGAGAAAAATGCCCTTTACTGGACCCACAGAAGGCTCGGCCCCCATGATGATAGAGAACAGTCCACCTTGAAGATCTAACAGTCATGGAGCTATACTTAGTAATATGGTATTGGATTCAGACAGGCGGAAACAGATAGGAATGTAATAGACAAATCCTCAGTTATAGTAGGAGAGTTTAGTAATATCTTTCAGACACGATGGAATAAGCAGATAATTGTAAGTATGTAGAAGATTTGAACAATACAGTTAACAAATCTGATCTTGTAACATACATTCCTGAACTCAACAAAATGAAACAAAACAATACATTGTTTTTAAGCCCACATGGAACATGAAAAATGTCTGTGTAGTACATTAACTGATCTAAAATAATTAACATACAGATTATGTTCTCTGAACTTGGGAAGATTAAGTGAGAAATCAACAATTACTGAAGGAAGAGAACATTTAGAAAGCTAAAAAAAAAAAAGAAGGCGACCCTTTAAATAACTTACGGACTAAAGAGGAAATCACAAAAGAACTGACAAAATATTTAGAACTGAATGACAGTGAAAATACCACCCAGAATTTTGTGAGATGCAGTTCAAGTGGTAGTTAGAAAGATGGATAGTTTAAAATGCATTTGTAAAAAAGAAGATAGATTAACTGTGTAAGCATGCGGGTCAAGAAGTTAGAAAAAGAGCAGCAGGAAAAAAAAAAAAAACCCAAAGGAAATACAAAGGAAGGAAATAAAAAAGACAATGAACAAGGCTAGTGAAGTAGAAAGCAACAATAAAAAGGAATGGAGACGACAAAGCCAAAAATTTTCTCTGGAAAGATTAATAAAATAGGTACACCCCCATCAAGGTCTGATTATGGAAAACAGAGAAAAGATACAAACAGATCATGTTAAGTCACTGAAGGGAGGGGTGTGATTATAAGTACAGGTTAAGTCCTAAGAGAATACCAAAACCCATACTATGTCACTGCACTGTTGGATAATTATATAGAAAAACATAAATGACCGAAATTGACTCAATAAGGAGTAGAAAACCTAAATATTCACTGTTAAATAAACTGAATTGATAGCCAAAGCTATCCCACCCCCCCACCCCCCCCAAAAAAACCCCCAGGAAGCCCAGAGATTTCAAGGATGAGTTTTAGCAAACCTTTAAGGAACAGTAAGTCCCTGTGGTGTATACAAACGAATTCAAAGGTTCAGAATCTCCTCAGCAATTTTATGAGGCTGGGATAACACCTTGATATCAAAACCTGACAAGCGAAGTACAAGGAAAATAAAAAAGCCAGTGTTGCTATTGATATGAAAGTCTCAAGGAAATATTAACAAATTAAAGTCAGCAGGTTATGAAAAAATAATACATAAGCAAGTGAGTTTTACCCATGGAGCGAAAAGATGGCTCAACAGAAGTGTAATCTACCAGGTTAACAGATTAAAAACCATGTGACTATCTCAGCAGATGCAGAAAAGCATTCAGTAAAATTCAACACTTTCATAATGTGCTAAAGGAATCGGGAACAGGCTAAATTTAGAGTCTTACGGTGAATCCCTTTATAAAGCAACTTTCATCCCTTTTATATTTTGACTAAATCTAGATTTTCAAGTATTAGATTTTTCTTTTCATAAAGGCTTAATTGCATGTGAGAACACACATCTATCCAGAAGTTGTGCCCAGTTCTTTGGGAGAACACAAAACATCCCACAACAACCCCAAAATCATGGTGAACTTGAAGGTGACTCTCCACACATCCCACATCTTGGTTGCAGAAATATAACAGTATACCCTCCTCCGGGATAAGTACAAGATTCCCTTTTCCCACCACTTGAGTGTGGCGCCCAGCTCATGGGTTGGGTGGAATGCAGCAGATCTGACCCAGGGAGATGCAAAGCTAGTGTGCCTTGTGGTCTGGTGTGACCTCAGTGCTTTTCCTAATGGACTTCCTTTCTCATAGACCCCTTTTCTCACCTTCATTCACATGTGCAGGTCCAAAGTGAAGACAGTGCATGAAAGGATCCCCTTGGCTGGATTGAACAAGTTGCCCAGCGTCCCTCAGATTGCAAAGGTAACAACCAACCCCTGTGAGAAGCGGGCTTCCTCTCTTAAGCCCAGGGCTGGGGCAGGGGTGCAGGCTCGTCCAGAGAGGGCTCTGTCCTTGGAGAGGGGAAGGCCACTATGCTCTTTGGCCCTTGATGCCATGGTTGGGGTGAGGGAGGGCTATTGGCAGATGTCCTCATCTTGCCTACAACCTCCCCATCTCATCCTCACAGCTGAGGCTGCTCATGGCCTCCACCCCCAAGTTCACAGCTGGTCCAGGGGACCAGAAACATGGGAAGAAAGGGTTGGCTATGCAGAGTACTGTAGGACTTGAGAGGAGGAGGAGGTCGGGTGGCCAGACAGTCTTCACAACACAGGAGAGATAGGCTGGAGGACGGCTAGGCTGTTGGTCCAGACAGAGGACACCCCCCACCCCCCACCTTGAGTAAGGAGCTGTCCCCTCAGCTGGTGGAGGGACCCATGTCTTTGCTCTGAGATATTGGGAGCTTGAGAACTGAGTCAGCAAAGTGGGGTGAGAAGGATGGTCGGACTCACATGTTGGGAGCAGGAATGCCAAGCAGAATTGTGCTGAATGCCTTCTGTCTGGCCTCAGCTTATCAGGAAATCCCAGGAAGGTGAGTTGGCTTTCCTGGCCACTAGTTAGTGAGCAGCAGAGCCAGGATTCAGCCCCGGGCCTTCTGATCCTGCAGCCCCAATGTTTTCAGTGGAAATGGCCCCTGAACTGTGTGTTTCTCTCTTCCTGCTTAGGCTTTCTGTGATGACGCTGTGGGGCTGAAATTCAACCCTGTCCTATACCCCAAGGTGAGGACCTTCACCTTCTCCCCTCGCCCAGGGCTCTGTAGCTTGGCATGGATTTGCATACCGGTGGCTCTGTGGGATGTTCTGTGCATCTTGGTGGGGTTTTATGGGGTCTCCAGTAAACCTCCATGTCTCTCCCTCTCCCTGCTCACCCCTTTGCAAACTGGTCCACTGGAAACCTGTCCTTGGCCGTGCCTGGGGAGAGACCCACCTGAATTGGTCCCCATCTGTTGTGGGGGCGGTAGAGGGGTTGCAGTGTTGTGACCTCTCCCCCTTATTCTCGTCATACTTCCTGGAGGCCCTTCTGATGTAGGGAGTGATTCCACCTATAGCTGGAGGGTTAGTGCAGATCTGGTCTGCCATCATGGAGGAGCAAGGGGGCAGAACCCCATAAGAGAGAAAAGGCCAGATTGTGGCTTCCCGTTGCCAGTGTTACTGCAGCTCTGAGGCCTTACAGCCCCCGCACAGCCCTAGTTAATAAACAGGCTGGTTCTGTTATCAGTTTCCTTCGGACTGGCCTGAATTTGACCCCAGTTGTGGGAGTGTGGGTGGGCAGAGGAACAATAATAACAAAACTAAACCAATAAGCCCACTCAAGAACAATTACGGCATGACAGGACCTAAATCACTCACGGACAGTGAATTGCTTTAAATTGGCCACGGGAAGAGAGCCGGTGTGCAGACTGCTTCATGAGCCGGCAGGGTCTGGAGGGCAGGAAGGGGAAGTGAGCGGTGCTTCGAAGCTCGCCCTGCGCACCCACACAGTGGCCGCGGAGGCTTGCTGGGGCTGGCTCAGTCCGCTCCCTGCACCCCGCTGCTGGTAGTGAGGGATGGCTAGCTGGAATGTTTGGGTGGGGAAGAGAGGCTCTGTCCTGGCCGAGGAATTCGGCCCCCCCTGGAACACATGGCTTGGATGTTGGTTGTGCTTGACACCATTCATCCCTGTGCTGTGGCTGAGCTAACGGCAGGGTCCTCACCTGCACGGGAATGTGCCAGAGCCCCCTCTCTCAGACACCCTCTGCGCGTCTGGAGGCTCTCCCCAGAATAAGCTGCCCCCCATGGAGCGTTTTCTTTCATTCAGGCTGCCCTTCCCTTTATAATTAAAGCTGAATTAGTGAGTTTTAACTAAACATTAAAACCCCGTCATGAAGGCCTTATTTAACTACAAGTTTGGCGGGTTTTTGTCATCAAATCCTGTCTGCCGAGAGAAGCTGGGGACGGTGCTCATTTGCACAGTTCTCCCTGTGACTTGGAAAGCCTCCGGCTCTGGTAATAATGGAAAAGCAGCTGTATTTTCTTGTTTTCTGTATTTGAAGGACCACTTAGTCCGGCTGGGTTGTTAATCTGGCTGAGCGAGGGGTGTGTGTGTGTGTGTGTGTGTGTGTGTGTGTGTATAATTCATAGAGTCTAGAACATTCTGTGGGGCCTTCTCCATGGCTAGATGCCTCTTCCCTGGCAGGGCAGCTGGTCTGCAACTTTGACTGTTCCATGTGGGTGTGGGGTCTCCCTCTGGGCCTGGGCAGCGGTGCCGTTCCCGGCGGAGCTGAGAAGAGCCCATTTCCTTGGGTGGCTCAGAGCCTCCCTTGGGTTGCATATGCTAAACCGCCAGACATGCCTTGTTTGTCCCTCCTGTGTAATATGTAGTCAGATCCCTCCTTTTTACTGCAGAGACTATCCCAATAAAGCCCAAGTCTCCTTCCCAACAAGCTGGTTCAGCTCCGACCTTTCTGGAGGGTTACACAGATGATGAGGATGATGATGGTGATAGCTGCTCTGTTGCTCAGCACCTTATGTGCCTGGTGTTACTGAATCTTCACAACCACACATCTCCATTTAATGGATGGGAAAACTGAGGTCCAGAGAAGTAAAATGGCTCACTCAAAGCTATGCAGGTAAAAGCAGCAGATTCAAGATACAGAGTTTGGTGTTTCTGGGCCCTGGACAGCAACACGGAGGCACAAGAGAAAACTAAACCAAACCAGTGGTCAGGGTTCTTTCCCACCCCACCCTCCCTTTGCGTATTGTGTGTTCCTCCTTAGAGACCTCTCACTTAATGGATAAAGGGGGATTGAAGTCTGGGCATGAGCAGTGCCTTGCTTAAAATCGTATGCTGATCAGAGGTAATTAGGGCCAGCATCATCCTCGCTGACCAGTTTTGGGGCCCTTCACTTTTTACATCACAGATAAAACACTGGGGCAAGTCCATTCCTTGAGTCCTGCTGGACTCCCAGGCCTTGGCTGGCCCATCTGGATGGGAATGGTGTGGAGATCCAGAGGTGTGGCCGCCGTGGGAGAGCCCCAGTCTGGGAACCAGCTGAGACCTCTGGCTTCCCCCTGTGCCTCCCCGCACGTGTGTGGATGTCTTACACCATGGGGACACATTCTCCACCAGAATGAGTGCTTTCCCTTCCTTTTGCTTCCTCCCTTGTCCCTCCGTTAATGAACAGCCTGATTTCTTTCTCTCTACATTTTTCTAGGCCTCCCAAATGATTGTGTCCTATGATGAGCACGATGTCAACAACACGTTCAAATTTGGGGTTATTTATCAAAAAGCCAGGCAGGTAAGCATCACGAATCCATACTGGTCACTATACCCTGTGGTTTCTCTCTGGGCACTCCCTCTTTGTCTCCCTTCAAGCACAGAAGCTCTACGCTAGCTTCTTCCACATGCTGAGCACAATAGTCACGTTACAGAGTGAATTAGGCTGGAGGTGACAGGATCTTCAAGGTGGGCTCCTCCTCACAAGAAGGCCTGCACATCCTTTAAACAGCAGTGTCATTTTTCATAAAGGAACATCTAATTCTTCTTGGCTACCTCAGCTTATATTGAACTATGGGCTGTTGTCCTAAGAATAATCGGACTGGGTAGAGGGAATGGATTAGCACAAGCTGCTTTCTCCTTGCCTGTCCTTCTCCCAGCTGGGAATTAGTTCTTTCTCCCTGGACTTTTTTAGGTTGCTGGAGCATTGCGTGCATCTCTTCCCAGCTCTGCATTCCGCAATGTCATGCCGGTGGCTTGAAATCAGCCATGGCGGAAGTATTTACACCAGAAAATTCGCAAACTAGGGCTTCTGCTTTCCCTCTTTGGAAACCTGGATGTTAAAAAAAATTTCCGGGTACACTACTCCTCCCCCTCCTCTGTCTGTCATAGCACTTCTATGCTGCTTTGAGGTTAGGTGGTCGGGATAATGTTTCTCGAAGTGTGTTCCATGAGACGCTGGCCTGGTGGGTACTCTGTGAACAAATTCCTCGGGGTGGGGGCGATTGTGTGGGAACATTTTAAAGGCTCTAAGAACCCCAGGGTAAAGAGCTCACAGAGCTTTTTTGAACACAGTGTTTCCCATACTTATTTAACCACAAACTTACCATCTTGCCTATCATGGACATGCATTAACACCCTGAGAAGTGGGCTGCTGAACACACCCATGCTTCCTCACCTAGAAGGTTCTACACCAGGTTTATCCTGGTATCATCCAAGAGCCTAGCATGGTGGTTTTATGGAAATAACACTCAATAACTTTTTTCTGTGTGAATCAATGGATAAAAGTTTTGGTGCTCTTATGGTAGGTCAGTTGATAGTATCTTTAACATTATCTATGGGGTTTTTGTTTTTTTTTTCCCCCGTGATGGTGTGTTTCTTGGCTAGCTGATAGTGGACTTCCTTGTCTGAAGATACTAGACCACAAGAGAAGTGTGTTTGCTTAAAAACAGTCTAATTAAGTGAAGAGTTTAGGAGCTGGGAGGCCAACACGGATGAATCTTATAATTGAAGGGAGATTATTCAGGTAGCTGCTCTAATTATTTTTATATATTGCATATTTATTTTGTACAGGTCTGCTAATATAACCCCCCTAATTAAAGTTTTTGCTTGTGAAATTTACCGTAGCAAATCTCATAAGATGATTACAACCCAGTGTTCCAAGCAAAATTATAACTGCCAAACATTAACCACCTACCTCTCGGAGGAGTCTGGGTGTTGTTTATTTACTGGATGCTGCTGAGCCCCGGTGGAGGTACACAGGGAGAAAAAAGTCTTTTTTAAAAAAATTTTAAAAAAGTTATTGTTTTGCAGACCTGTACCCATGGGGCAGGTTATATGAACATTTGTTGCATGAAAGCTCTATGTCATTCTTAGGATACAAGTAAGTTCCCTCTAATTCTCCTGTTTGTCAGACACAGTGTTGACTAAGACCCCCTCCCTGAGCACATGGTCAGACTCATGGCCAGTGTAAAAATACACTGCTAGCACCAGGCTGGATGTCCATCCTAGCGAGAGCTGCACGCCCTGCTGAATAAGCTGGATTGCTTTCTCCGGAGAAGATGTGTGTTACCTGGAAGCAGCTGTTCTCGCACACTCTGGCCTCACGACCTGCGGTAAACAGCACGCTGGGTCAGAGTTGTGTGTGATGCCTTTGTGGCATGCTCTCTATACAGCAGGAATCAGCACACTTTCTGTGAATGGCTGGATAATTAATATTTCAGATTTCATGAGCTGTACTGTCTCTGTGGAACTAACTACCCAACCCTGCCTTTGTAGTGCAAAAGCAGCCATAGACAGAACCAAATGGATAGTCCTGTGTTCCAATAAATTTTTATTTATAAAGCAGCAGACTGGATGTGGTCCCAGGGCCACAGTTTGCTGACCCCTGCTAGAGGGCCATGTTTCCCAAACTTCAGACATTCACAAATGACATCCAAGATCATATTTTCTCCTGTTTGCCTCTCTTACACTTTTTATTGCACCTGTACTATTAACTACCTCACATTTTCTTTAAAAAGCCTTTTTTTCCCACCTTACATGCATGGTTTAAAGGAAATTTTGTATCACCATTTTAATTAGAAAATCAATATCCCTTGCATGAAATGAAGGTCATTCGAAAAAGGAAATACCATGAAAAAGAGTGAAGTTATTGAAATCTAGCTAGATTTTGCTGCCCATTGAAGGCATAGAACCTGGGATCTGCTCTTTTTTGTGATGAAGCAGGTGTTAAGGAGATATTAAAGAGTCACCTATTAGAGACTTTCTCCTTGAAGGGATTGCTCATGCTGGAGTTTCCTGGGTCATCTGCAGCTGTGAACTGCCATCTGTGGATGTTTGTGAGTCATCGCTCTTTGCCGATCCTGCCTCAGTGGGCAGAGCCTGCTGATCAGGCAGGGCCATGCACTGCTTGGAGCCTGTCACAAGGGCAGAGCTTACCACCATTTTCAGCTTTGCTTTCTACTTTTTTAAAATTATTAAACTTTTAACTTCTAGATGTTTGTAGATTGGCATGCAGTTTTAAGAAATAATACAGAAAGCTCTTGTGTGCCCTTTACCCAGTTTTCCCCAAAGGTAATGTCTTATAAAACTGTAGTGCTCAATTACAGCCAGGATATTGACACTGATACAATCCTCAGATCTTATTCAGACTTCTCCAGGTTTTCATGTGACCATAGGGATATGTGTGTGTGTGTGTGTGTGTGTGTGTGTGTATGTATTTCATTGTATATAATTTTATTACAGTGTAGGCTTCACAGTCAAAATACAGAAAAAGTCCACCAACACAAGGATCCCTTATGTGGCCCTTTCATAAGCATGCCCACCTCCTTCTTGCCTCCATCATCCCTTCCTACCTCCAGTCCCTGAGCCCTGGCAACCACTAATGTATTTTCTACTTTCTAACACTTTGTTATTTGAAAATTGTTACATAGATGGGATCATACACTATATAACCTTTGGATATTGGCTCTTTTTCCCACTCAGGGAGATTCATCCAAATTCTTCTGTGTATCTGTAAGGGGGGGGTGTCATTGCTTTTTCATGGCTGCATAGTAATCTGTGGTGTGACTATACTGTGGTCTGCTTAACTGGTCACCCTTGGAGGGATATCTGGGTGGTTTCCAATTTGGGGGGACTATGAATAAAGCTGCTGTGAACATTTGTATATAGGTTTTTGGGTGAGCATAAATTTTCATTTCTCTGGGGTAAATGCCGAGGAGCATATGCTGGGTTTATGGTAATTATATGTTCAGTTTTGTAAGAAGCTCCTGAACTGTTTTCTAGAGTGGTTGTTCCATTTTGCATTCCTACCAGCAATGTATGCATAATCCATTTCCTCTACATCCTCACCAGCATTTGGTGTTGTTACTATTTTTTAATTTTAGCCATTCTGATAGATGTGTAGTAATGTCTCATAATGGTTTTAATTTATATTTCCCTAATGGCAGCTAATGGTGTTGAAGATCTTTTCATGTGCTTATTTGCCCTCTGTATATATTTCTTTGGGTGAAATGACTATTCATGTCGTTTTTCTTTTTTTTTAAATCTTTTTATTTATTTATTTGACAGAGAGAGAGAGCGAAATCACAAGTAGGCAGGAAGAGAGCGAGGGGGAAAAGCAGGCTCCCCGCTGAGCAGAGAGCCCAATGTGGGGCTCGATCCCAGGACCCTGAGATCATGACCTGAGCCGAAGGCAGAGGCTTAACACACTGAGACACCCAGGTGCCCCTCATTTCCATTTTTTTTAAGATGTTATTTTTAAGTAATTTCTACACCCAACATTGGGGTTGAACTCACAACCCCAACATCAAGAGTCATATGCTGTCCTGACCAACCAGCCAGGTGCCCCTCTTTTGACCATTTTCTAATTGGATTTTTTTTTTAACTGTTCGAAACTTTTCATAACAGCTTTATTGAGGTGTAACTCACATTTAATATGATTCAAATGTGTACAATTTAGTGGCTTGGAGTATATTCACAGAGTTATAAAACCATCACCACTATCTAACTCCAGATAATTTACATCAACCCCCAAAGAAACCCCGTACCCATTAGCGGTCTATCCATATCCATTCTCGCCAGCTCCCGTCATCACAAATCTACTTTCTGTCTCTATGGATTTGGCTGTTCTGGACACATTGTGTAAATGGAATCATAATATGTGGTCTTTTTTGTCTAGTTTCTTTTGCTTAACATGTTTTCAAGGGTCATCCATGTTGTAGCATGAGGCAGTCCTGCATTCTTTTGACGGCAGAATTATGTATTGTATGGACATACCACATTTCGTTTATCTGTTTGTCAGTTGATGGACATTCTGGTTGTTTCCACTTTTGGACTGTTATGAATAATGCTGCTTTTAACATTCATGTGCAAGTTTCTATGTGGACTTATGTTTTCCTTTTTCTTGGATATATTCTTAGGAGTAGAATTGCTGGGCCATATGGTAACTCTATGCTTAGCCTTTTGAAGAACTGCCAGACTGTTTTCCAAAGAGACAGCACCGTTTTACATTCCCACCAGCAGTGTATGAGGCTTCTGACTTTTCCGTATCCTCACCATCAGTTCTTTTTTTTTTTTTTAAGATGTATTTTTTTTTTTTTTTTTCTTTAAGAGAGAGATGGCGAGAGAGAGGAAGCGGGGGCGGGTAGAGGGAGAGGAGAAAACTCCTCAAGCAGACTCCCCGCTGAGCTTGGAGCCTGACATGCGGCTCGATCCCAGGCCCCTGAGCCCCTGACCCCAGCTGAAATCAGGGGTCTGCTGCTCAGCTGACTGAGCCACTCAGGTACCCCCTCTCTGTCAGTTTTTGTCTTTCTTCTTGATTATAGCCACCCAGGGAGAGAGATTATGATTTTGATTACTACTGAGTTTTGAGAGTTCTGTATATATTTTAGCTACTAGTCCTTTGTCAGAAGTCCAACTATTAATTTTTCATTAACGGAATGGTTTTTGGTATCAAGTCTAAGAACTCTTTGCTTCAGCTCTGCCTTTTGCGCTGGCCAGCAGCCTGTGTTGTGCTGGCAAGTTCTTACTAACCAGCCCCGAAGTTCCGGCTCTGCTGAGTGAATGCTATTTGTTCTTCCTCCAGTCAAGCAGAGCCAGTGGTTGGCAAATGTGTTGGGGCTGGGGAGAAAGGAAGAAAAGGACCAGGTAGCTGGGCAGCCACATTCCTTCCCTTGGCATCAGGAAGGCTTTTCTTTCTGACTCTTACCCTGATTCTGTTTCTCTTTCAGACCCTGGAGGAAGAGCTGTTTGGAAACAATGAGGAGAGTCCAGCTTTCAAGGAGTTCTTGGACCTTTTGGGGGACACGATCACACTGCAGGATTTCAAAGGGTGAGTTTCTGCCAAGGCCTCTGGCCCTAGTGATGAAAGCCTGGAGTAAGGGAGAGGGGCAACAGTTGAGTCTCAGGGGTATGTGAGAGGTGAAAACACACACAGGAAACATGGAATTGTTTTTTGGCAAGTGACCAACATTCCCCTGCATCTCTAAGAAAATGGGTGACGTGGGGGATAACCCAGAATGGCACATTCTCTGAATGGCACTGACACTGGCCTTCCGATGTGTGATGAAACTGCTCCGACCAAGAGTGAAATGAATCCACCTTCTCTGTCACTCACTGGCCAGGCCTTCAGGAAAGAGGGCCCTGTGGGGGGAAGGGGCCCATTTCAGAGAATACGCAAAAAGAATGGATAATTAAGAATTTGTGGAAATACAGTAATCTCCCTGGCAGAAATTTGTGCAGTAGCCTCTGGTTCTCTTAAGTGGAAAGAAAGAATATTGGGACTATGCTTGGAAAACTCTGGCCCTTGATTTCCCTTGACAAAGGCAACATTTGACCGGAACTTCCAGCCTGGCCAGCCTGTTCTGTGCTTTGTGGCTGACATGCCGCTGAGCCCCAGGGATCCCCTGCTTCGTCAGCCAGATTGACAGGATCTCCTATCAGGTGCGAAAGTGCCCAGCTCTGGGCCTGGTGTGTAGTGGTGTTCAGTTATTACTTTCTTCCTCCACTCCCTTCTCTTCTCCACTTCTTCTTTCCCCCTCCAAGGTCATCACTGCCACCTGGTGTCAGTCACACACGGGTAAAAGTCCCACCTCCATCACTTACTGGCTCTGTGTCTTTGAACAAGTGCCTTAACCCCTGAAAGCCTCAGTTTCCTCATCTGTAGCCGGGAGGTAAAACTAGTGCTGATGCCACCAGGTTGTTGAGGGATTCAAGTAGATCCTGCAGGTGAAGTAGCAGGTCTGGGGCCCCATGCAGAGTTAGCGCGGAGAGTCCTTCCATTCTTGCTCTTCCTGTGCCCCCTTCCATCGACTCTGAGGAGCCATCATTGTAAGATGCATCCTGGTTTCAGAGATGTTCAAGTATGAAAAAAGGTGTGCCTTAGAATAGATGAAGTAAAGGCTGTTAAAAGGAAGGAAGGAACCCCAGAGATCATGGACTTCTAGCCCTTTATCATGTAGAGGAAGAAACTGGGGCAGATGAGGACAGGTCAAGTGATGTGCTCGAGGTCACGTGCTGGCTTATCGGCAGGACCCAGAGCGCCTGACCCCCAGCCTGCTGAGCTTCCCGCCATGCCGGGCGGAGCACATTTTCTGGTTTGTCTTAAAACGTTTTTGGAGACTGACATCCAGGGTGTGCTTTATTTAATTTTCTTAAAGGAACCTGCATCTCCTCCCCTTGCTGAAGACTGTGACCCATGGCCGGGAGCCCATGTCTGGAAAGGAAGAAGGGGTGGATCCTGGAAGCCCACCCAGGGTCTTATTACTTTTCTTTCCTGCCTTTGAGGAGATACCAGAGAGGGGCTCCTTGGACGCCGCTGGGGTGGATGCTGCTGTGGCTGGGTCTCTGCGTGAGGGACTGGCTGGGCAGAAATCCAGAGTCTGTCACTTCTTCACGCTGCCTCTGGATTCTCCCACAGGAGAGCTGGTTGCCCTGGCTCTGGGCTGAGGACTTGGACATGGCCTTGTGGAGAGGAAAGGCTTACGCCCAGCTGTGGGGGCCACTGGCACCCGGGATGGCATTTGGGATTGAGGATGGGTGACCTCCCTTCCTATTGGCCGGATGGATGTTCTGCCTCTGTCTCTTAAACAAGAGGCTTATGGGTAGACCTCTGGGTCTTGTGTACTCAGGAGCCTGGACCCCCCCGCGCCGGGCCCATCATTCTGTCTGTGCCCCTGCTCTTGAGTGTCTTCTCGTTCCTTCTCCGGCCCCCGTATCCTCAGGGAAGGCACCACGTAGCCTACTTTTCCTTACACTTACTCCCTTCCTGCTCTTGCCATGTTTTGCTGACAGTTTTCGCGGAGGCCTGGATGTGACCCACGGACAGACGGGGGTGGAATCCGTGTACACGATATTCCGGGACAGAGAGATCATGTTTCACGTCTCCACAAAGCTGCCGTTTACCGAGGGAGACGCCCAGCAGGTAACCTGGATCGGGAGGGCATTGGGAGCGTGGGGCATGTGAGGTGAAAGCCAGCTTCTGGTGTTGGGTACTTGAGGGGCTGGTCCACTTTCCCACTTTCATAATCCAGAGGCCAGTCTGTTCACAATGCATCTCACCCTTGTGGCCTGTCATGGCACCTGGTGTGGGAGGCAGGACAGGGCTCCTGCTTGTCTCGCTCTGACAGGTGGGGAAACTGCAGCTCAGCGTGGTTGGGGGCAGAGCTGGGAGCAAAGTCCAAATGCCCTGCTTGTGTAGGGTGGTGGTGAGGAGGACATGATGGCATTTGCAAGTAGCAGCTTGACGCCAGCTCTGTCACTTGGGGGTATGTGGCTCCGGGCAAGCTGGTTAAGCTTGTGGCCTCATGCTCCTCCGCTGCAAAACAGATAAGACCACCTAAGTCACAGGATTGTTGGGGGCATCACAGAAGGTTCTGAAGGTACGGTTCAGTATGGTGCCTGGCTTGTGGCAGGCTTCCTTCCTGACCATGGCCCTCCTTCCTGCCCCAGTGATGGGTGGCAGGACCCCCCAACAGTGGTTATTGCCCCTGCCTCTCAACCTTTCTAGTCTCATCTCTTGCTGCACCTGCTCATGGACAGGAGTTCAGCCTTCACCTCAACCAGGGAACCTGGATGAGACCTCTGCATCCAGCATTATCCTGCCTTCCCTCTCATTTGCTGCTTTGGAGAGCGGCGTGTCCCCAAGGTGGCCCAGCTCTTTTCTTGGGGAGCCCTGAAATCATCAGCTGAGGCCTGGCTGCTGCACCATCTGCCCCCTCCCACTCTTTGTGCCTTTTCAGTCTCTAGGAAACTCAGAAAGGAAGGTAGGCTCTTCCCCAGACTCTGACCCATTCCTCTCTGAGCAGGGAACTGAGGAGGGAGCACAGATGTAATACTGTAAACATAGTGCCTGGCTTCGTAGGGAAAAAGGAAATTGGCAAATGAGACTGTGATTTGGCTCTAAAATAACCACGGAATGTTCCAGAAACAAATGGGAGCAGGATTCCTTTTGAATCCAAAGTAGGTTTTTCTCTCCACGTTTCACCTTTGTCTCTGTTCCCTCATGGCCTCCTCGCCCCCTGCCCAGCCTGGGGCTCTCTTTCAGTCTCCCCTATATTCAGTGGGAAGTACACAGAGCTTGGCTTTCTGCAAGGGCTGAATAAATATTAATTTTCTGCTCCCAAGAAATGGGAGGAGGTGGGTGGGATAAGTGAGACAATTCATGTAAAAGTGCCCAACCTGGGGCTCAGTCTACAGCAGTGCTCCATAAATATGAAAGTCACTGTGAAACGTAGAGCCTACATGCCTGAGGTGCTTAATCGAGGAACAAATGCATAGGTAGGCACCTAGCCAGGACTCCGTGGCCCCAGTATTTGAAGTCACACATGCGAACAGCACGGCATGGTTCCTGACGCACAGTAGCTGCTCGGTGACTAAGTGAGCCTGTGCAAGGACCTGGCCCAGTTTGAATCAGGCATGGATTTCTCTCCTGTGACCCCTGCCAAGCCAGGTTGCCCTCTTTCTCTAAGCGTGGCTCTCCCTCCCTCTGGTATAGAATGCTCTGCTCGATAATCCCTGCGCATCCACATTTCCTTCAAGCACTGCCCACCCACCCCATCTCCTCTTCCAGGAAGCCTTCTCCAGTTAGCGCCAGGCCTCTGATTTTGCCTTCCTCTCTGCCCCCAGAGTGCCAGATGTTTTGTGTGTGGCAGCCTATGTAGCACCTGCTGGCTGGTGCCTTTGTTACTGTTCTCAGGTGGCTTCATCTGTGTTTCTGTCCCTTCCAGACCCATTACAGGTTCTGCCAGGGCAAAACCCATTCCTCATCTTTTAACCATTCTCCCCGAGTCCTGTGTCAGGACCCTGGCTCCTCTAGAGCTCTGTAACATCCTCACTAGCCACTACCTATCTAGTCTTCCCCATTTTTTTCTTTTTGGTGGTTTCTGAAGATTGGGGGGAAAACTCCCCTGGAGAGCTAGGTCTCAGAGTTACAGGGTTTCTGTATAAAGATAGAATAATGAGGACTTTCCTGTCTAGATCTTGTCTGTTTTCAGGTTGTTCCTAGCTGGCTTATAACAACTGACCACTTTTTGTTTAGCTCCAGAGAAAGAGACACATTGGGAATGACATTGTGGCCATCATCTTCCAAGAAGAAAACACACCGTTTGTCCCAGATATGATTGCCTCCAACTTCTTACACGCCTACATTGTCGTGCAGGCTGAGAACCCGGGCACGGAGACCCCGTCCTACAAGGTGAGAAGAATGCTCGTTGGAGGAACTGGGGGGCTCAGGTACTTTACCATACCTTCTGGATTTAGTAATGTCGAGGACCACTAGTTCTCCATGGCTTCTCAGGCCATTCTCCAAAATGATACTCCTAGCACTGGTGTGATTAGTTTTCTAGAAATCCCAGCTTTCTGGGATTTGGGACCTGGACTTGGTGGAAGTCACCTTCTGAGGTCATCTCATCCATCTGGCTGCCTCTGGGTTCAGCAGCATCTCACTCAAGGGTTGAGAAGCCCCTGGTGCCTCTGTTTGGAATCTGGTGATGCCATTGGCTGGACTAAGGCAGAGCCAGAGGAGAGAAAAAAAGAGAAGGTTGGGGGTGGAGGGACCATCAGGAAAGGGAGAGGAAGAAGGGTGGTAACAAAGAGAAAGAATGTAAAAGGAGAAATGTTTATGGTGAGAATGGTGGTGAGTAGGGGGCCTGGTAGACCCTGGCCATGGGGTGGGTCCTTCTGGTTTAGCTGTTCTGGAAGAAATGATTGATTTTAATTTGAAGACTCCAGGGAGGTGGGGTTGCAAGTGGCTGAGTCTGAGCCTCCAGATCAACAAGTGGTCTTCCAGAATGGCTTAGTATCCTCCTTAATGCAGGTAAGCCCCAGCAGTCCTCACCCTGCCCATTCCTGATGACTGTACCACCAGCCCTGCCCTTCTCTTCTCCATGAGAAGCAGTTCTGACCTCTTGGGCAACAGTTGCTCTCCATCTCAGTGGTGTTGGGGGTGTGGGATCCAAGGGAGATAGATTGAGGCAGGGTCTTTAAAGTGGTTTAACCATATAACCATATAACCCATTGTGGTTATATGCAAAATGTTGTTTATGCAAAGAATGTTGAGTTTAGGTGCTGCTTTATGTTTTAGGGGGAGAGAAACCAAAGCTTAAATACTCAGAGGACTCCCTGTTCCCTAAAGTGCTAGGAACCACTGTTATAATAGGGAAATGAGCGCGTCATTGCTAAGGGGAAATTGGGAAACCTGAAAGTGTAATAACTGTGTCATCTCTTGAGCTCACGAGTCCCTAGTGCTTCATGGCCACCTTCACGAAGTATCCGCTTTGATTGGTTTTAGCCCAGGTCATGATCTCAGGGTCATGGGATCAAGCCCTGTGTTGGGCTCTGCACTCAGTGGGAGTCTGCTGGAGATCCTTTCCTTTTGCCCTATCTCTGTCTCTCTTTCTCTTTCTCAAAGATGTTGGAAAAGAAAAATGATGTCATGTAATTGTTACATCAGTAGAAACCCACATATTTTAATTGTATAATTCACATCAACTTTAAAACTCAATCTGAGACTACAAATAGAACCTCACACTCTCTCCTATGAGGGAAGCTAATTCTTTCACATCCCCCTGTTCGCGTTCCTGCTCCTCTTTCACTGAGCAGTTTTAGCAAAAAAGTCAGAAAAGCTGTGGCTTGGGCATTTCCTTGAAGGATCAACTTCCTAGACCAAAATGGGGATTCATGTCAGACAGCTCCCCAGTTTGTTGATGGGAGCAAGTGTATTCAATTGGTGCCTCCTGTGGGCCTGGCTAGGGATGGGGCATGTGGAAGTGATGTATAGAACTGGCCTCCCAGGAGAGAGAGGGGACCGTTGAGGTGGAGTTCAGCCACTGGGCCACTCAGACAGCCAAGTGGCTCTTTCCACAGCCAGTAGAGGCAGAGGGCCACCGAGGAGGGTCTTCAAGGTCAAGCTATGTGGTGGGAAGGCTCCCAGCCCCTGCCGGGCAGTCATGGGTTCATGTGTGGCTTGTCTGCTGGGCCCCTGCTGGCAGAATGAGGCCTCTTGTGGACGTTTAGTATTTGTTTTTAGCTCCCACTAGGAAATGGAACTCAGCTCCATTTTCTCCACTTTCCCAAGAGCTTAGTGGAGTGGGAAAATACAGCGATCCAAAAAAAGCAGCACTTCACCTCCAGCTTTGATGCTGGAAGTCTTCACCACATCCTCCCAACCCCAGCCCATGGTCCAGGGAAAAGCATTGTCCTCAGAGATGGTGGCGATCACAGAGAAGTAGGACCCACAGGAAGAGCCCGACTGTCCCAAGCTGTAGGACCATGTAGTCCACCTGCGGGGGAAATATCTGGGCCAGAAGGGCAAGACCTGTGAATGGGGGGCCAGGGGTGCAGAACACAGGGAGGGAGACCAGCCTTCCTAGGTACTCCCCAAAGCTCTGTCCAGTCACACTCCCAGCAGCACCCCAGGTGATGAGAAGACTGGGGAGGACCCCGTGAGATTCCTCAGAGGGTCCAGGGTAAAATGGGATTGCTGACCTCTGCAGACTTAGGGGCTATGGCAGAAGAGGCTGAGATAGCCCCAGGGAGCCGTCCACAGGGGAGAAAAGAAGAGGAAAGGGAGGGAAGGACAGGGGTAGGAATGTTCAGGAAGGGCCCCCACACTGAGAGGCTCAGGAGCTGGGAGTTCTGGTCCTGGCCCTGCTTCTGACTGCTCTGTGACCTTGGGCCAGTTCCTTCCCTCTCTGGACCTCAGCTTCCATTTGTGTGAAATGAGGAAGTTGGACTAGACAGTCTTTGAGTTCCCTCCAGCCCTGACATACTGCAGGAAGGGAAGTGGGGCCAGGGCAGAGGTGCTGAGGAAGAAGGAGGGGTGAGAGAGAGAGAGGGAGGGAGGTTAAGAAGTGTTTTAGGGGAACTCTGTAGTATTTGAGGTGTCCTTTATTAGATGCAGGTCAGTAAGGAAAGTTAAAGAAAAAACAACAACCAAAAGCACCAGGTAGCATGTTACCCCTCCCCAGGTGTTTGCTCCGTATCAGGCACTGTGCTGGATTCTTAGAATCACAGTCTTCTAGAATCTTCCCAAGCCCCTGGTCAGGCAGGGTCTCTCTTCCTCAATTTCCAGGAAGGAAATTGAAGCTGAGAGCTTAAGTTGCTTAAGGCCCAAGGCCACAGAGCCCGGAAGTGGTGGAGCCAGAGTTGCTGTCCAGGCTTACCTGTGGTCTGCATCCCTGAGCGGTCGGAGCAGGTGGGAACTTGCCTCCCAAACTCCGGTGTACATAAAAGGTTACATTGCATGATTTTTCAGACATGAATTTTGTCCCTACTCTGCCCTGTTAGAAGCTGAGCCATCACTCAGACTCCCTCTCTTCCTGTCTGAGTTCTCACTGGCCCTGACTCTGAAATCCTACAGAGGTCTCTGGAACCCTATGCAAAGCACACCACTGGGGAGGGGGCCTGTCTGGGTATGCCCTTCCCCTCCCTGCTGATCTGGTGCTTGCGCACCCTGGCACAGATCATGAAGGCTGCCAGGCCGCACTGCTGTGGCATCTCAGGTTTGCAGTCAGGGGAGGCGCCCTACCTCCCTGGTGTATCCTTGTCCTCACGGCCCAAGCCTCCTCCTGCTTTCCATCCTCTCCCCTCAGCCCTTCCCTGCCCCCTGCTGGGAGGCGCCTCTGGACTTTAGAAAACCAAAGGTGGGGTTGTGTTCTGGCAGCTTCTGGTTCCACCCAGCAACCCACCTGTCCTCAAGAGAAGGGAACAGCAGGGCGTATGGGTCGCTCAGTCATTAAGTTAAGCATCTGCCTTTGGTTCAGGTCATAATCCCAGTACCCTGGGATCAAGCCCTTCAGGGCTCCCTGCTCAGCAGGAAGCCTGCTTCTTCCTCTCCCATTCCCCCTGGCTTGTGTTCCCTTTCTCACTGACTTTGTCAAATAAATAAAAAAAATCTTAAAAAAAAAAAAAAAGGAACAGCAAAGACCCAGGCACTGTGCTGGAAAGGGGTCAGGAGAGGGAACCCTGTAGGGATAGACGATGCACGTCTATCACCAGGAAGGGTCCTGTCCCCTGCTTTTCTGTGGTGGGCTTATCTGGCCGGGAGATTCGGCCAGTGGATGGCTGAAGCTCCTTAGCCAGCCAGGATAGACCACTCTAGCACAAGCAGGAGTGGGGGCACTGGGGTGGTAAGAAGGCAGAGGCCTGACCTCTGACCTCTTCCCAGGTGCCTTCCCACCACCCCCCTCCAGATTCCTGTGCACAGTGGGTGGTGCTGGGGGACTGTGTTTGGCAGCAGGAACCAGCCTGAAATCCCGTCAGCTGAACACACACCATTTCTTAATTCCAGGCATGCAGACAGCCTTAGCTTGGGGAGGGAAAGCTGTACTGACCAGCTCTCTCCCACTGTTTCCTTCCAGAGCCTGGCAGGGCCTTCCCTTGGCTGGGCTCCGAGCTGCCTGCTCGCCCGGTCTGGCAGAATCCCTGCATCTGCCCTACTTCATAGGCCAGGGAGGCTGGCAGCATGCCAGAGCCAGGCTCACGTCAGTGGCCGTCTGGGAAGGGGAGCGGGCAGAGTTTCCAGAGAGGCCTCTGGCCCTGTGGGCTGAGAACAGGTGAAACCAGGGCACCTCCATGCAGGGAGAGCCGCTGGCGTGCAGGGTCTGTCCTGAGCCTGGGAGCCCCCCACACAGAGTACCTGGGTGCTCTCACTCTATGAGTTCCCCGCCTCCCTGGGCTTGCCAGAAGGGTATAGCACGTGAAGAGCCTGGGGCGCCCTGTGCAGAGTGCCTTGATATCCCCCCCACCCACAGCTGCCAGCCTGGACCCTGGCACTCCAAGCCTCGCCTGGACTGTCTGACCCCGCATGTGGGGTCAGGGCGCAAGAGCACTAGTTTACCCACCGCGCCAAGGCTCTGAGGAGCACGTAATTGTTGCACATTCCTGGCTCCGTCTCAGAGCTTGTGATTCAGGAGGTTTGGGATGGAGCCCATGCAGTCGGTATTTATTTTTCAACCACTTTCAGTGATTCTGCTGTATGGCCAGGTTCAGGAGTCAGTGTTGTGGGAAACGAACCCCATGGCGGGGTCGGGAAATCTGGATGGCCCCAGTGTCTGGGCCTCTGTTTCCTCATCAGTGAAACAGGGTCAACAGTTCTCACTTCGCCGTCTCCGTGGGATTAATATCCAGTCAGATGAGGTAACCAGATAAGGTCTCCTGGGCATTTGTACTGCAGTAGAAGCCGGGGCCCAGTCAACTGCTCAGTCCCGGGCAGTCATCTTGCCAGACTCACTGCCGGCCCCTAGGAAGGCAGACGAGAGCGCGTGGATGGCTTTGTGCAGCTTGGGCCTGCTTGTAGCGGCAGCTGCTTGGCCCTGCTGGTGAGTGCTCACGGGAGCTTGTATTTGAATTCTGGGGTAGGGAGGACATGTGCTGTGAGCCGTGGGCGTCCCTAGGGCCAAGGCTCGTGAAGCGTTATCATCCTCAGGCTGGATCTCCTCCCTCCTCGCCCACACCAAGACTCTGTTTCAGGTCTCAGTCACGGCCCGGGAAGATGTGCCTGCCTTTGGCCCCCCTCTGCCTAGCCCTCCTGTTTTCCAGAAGGTAAGAACTTCCCCTCTCCGCTCTTCTCTTCTCCAAGACTCCAGGTTTCAGGATCTGAGCGGCAGTGGCTGGAATGGGGGCTAAATCTGGGCTGGAGGCCCCTTTGGCAGGCTTGGGGGAATCTCCTCCCTTGGGGGGTCTCTCTCGCCTCTCCTTGTGCTACCAGTCTGGCCTAGCACAACACCCCTTGTTCAGGTTATTTGACTCCGGGGTTGCCTTTGTGGGAGAAGAAGGGTTTTCATACGTACTCCACAGTCCAAGCAGCCTCAGCAAGACTGGCCTCCAGTCATGGAAACAGTGTGTGGGGGATTGATTTCTCAGGACTGGGACACCTGGTTTCCACCAGTTGGCATCTTAGCAGGTGGTCCTGGTCTGGGCTAAAAGATGACCACATGTCAGAAGGGGATCCTTTAGGGGGTCTCCCCAGAACCCCTGTTCTGCATACCTGTTCCTGTGGCTGAAAGCACTTTCAGCCACACCTGGGGCTGGTGGCATTGCAGAGCTTCTTGTCTGTTCCAGGGCCCGGAGTTCAGGGAGTTTCTGCTCACCAAGCTCACCAACGCAGAGAACGCTTGCTGCAAGTCAGACAAGTTTGCGAAGCTGGAGGTGAGAGCGCTGTTTCTGGACGTCTTCCTCCTGCCTTCCTGGCTGCTTGTTAGCCAGCCTCTCCTGGGGGTCTGTTCTTGGGGGTGCTCGAGGCGAGGAGCACTGTCTTTGCCCACCCCTCTAAGCCTTCAGCCCTGTGTTGATATAGGAACTCTTTCTTCTTGTGGAAACTCCACCCAAACCTTAGGTCTAGCCAACCATTCACCAGTCATTTATTGAGCACCTGCTGTGTGCCAGGCTCTGTTCTGTTCCCTGTGATACAGGGGTAAGTGAGGCATGGTTTCTGCCTTCCAGAGCGCTTGGGCTGGTGGCAAGGGGCCATTACTTAAGAGACTGGTTATGGTACGTGTCAGCACTGGGCCATGATGGAGGCCAGCACAGGGGCTGTGACTGCTTCTGTCCCTGAAGAACTGGGATGTGTTCAGAGAGGGCTTCTTGGAGGAGGTGGCCCTTGAGCTGCTGGATCTGGATCTCTGACGAGCCTTTTGCCAGGAGGAAAGCTTGGGGAGGGCTATTCCAGGCATGGGAAACAGCAATAGGCAAAGGCCAGGCAGATCAGAACATGACTTTTGAGGGAGCCCCAGAGGGCGTGAAGGGGGCCTGAGAGGAGGACTCGTGGAGACTCAGTGGAGGTGTTGTTTGGGTCAGGTCAGGAAGGGCTTTGAACTTTAGAAGTGATGAGGTGCTCATAAAGTACTTAGAGTAATGGTTTGCTTTGTGTGTTAGATTACTCTGGCGGCAATGAGAAGAGCAGCTCGCTAGGGAGGAGGGCAGGAAGGGTGGCAGGTTAGAAGCTGTTATAGGATCCCAGGACAGGGGTGTCTGGGTGGCCCAGTCCTTACGCGTCTGCCTTGGTCATAGGTCATGATCCCAGGGTCCTGGGTTCGAGCCCAGGATCAGGCTCATGCTCAGCTCCCTGTTTCTCCCTCTCCCTCTGCCCCTTCGTGTGTTCCCTCTCTCGCTGTGTCTCTCTCTCTGTCAAATAAATAAATAAAATCTTAAAAAAAAAGAAAGGGAAAATAAAAGGAACCCAGGACGGATGAGGGCAGCTTGCTCAGATGGGCTGCAGGAGGAAATGGTTTGGGATCAGGATCCTGTGTCTAGGGTAGGGCGAAGTGGAATGGTGGGGTAGCTCTTGGGTCTTTTGCTGGGGCTCTTCACTGACCTGGGGGCCTTTGGGAGACGAGGTCTGTGAGAATCTGCTGATCTGGAGGTCCCCACAGGGGCTGCTGCTGGCATGTGTGAATGGTGCCCCCTAGCGGTCGAACGCATGGCCCTGGCCCAGCACCTGGATGGAGACGAGCAGTGAAGGCAGTTGGGTACACCAGGTTGTGGAGCTTGAGGCAGAGATCTGAGCTGGGAGTCAGCAGGGTAGAGCTGTGGGGTGGCCCATGGAGAGGGGGTAGGGGAGAGATCAGAGGCCAGCCACAGAGCTTTCCTGGTAACTGCAGTGTTTGTGAGCATGGAGCCCTCGGTCCACACTGTCCCCCAGATGCTGGTGGCTAGGTGTCGGCAGCCCCCAGGAGAGGGTGCAACTCTCTCCTCCTCCATGCCCACCCGCCCTCATGTAATCTCCGCCCTCTTTCCTTTTAGGACCGGACGAGGGCTGCCCTGCTGGACAACCTCCACGATGAGCTTCACAGCCACACTCAGGCTATGCTGGGACTGGGCCCAGAAGAGGACAAGTTTGAGAATGGGGGCCATGGGGGATTCCTGGAGTCTTTCAAGGTACGGGCATGAGAGTGGCTGGCACATTGCACGGTGGGGGTGGGGGAAGGCACAAGGGAAGGGGCCCAAGGTCCATGGGGTCCTGTCCCTAGAGCCCTCATGGCAGCATTGCAGTTTTGGCAGAGGGTGGGGCCTCAGGAAGCACGAGTGGTCAGAGCAGCCAGTGGTGTCTCCAGCATCCTCTCCATCCTTCCTTGATGTGGATCATGACCTCTGGGGCCAGGGAGTCTGAGAAGCAGGGACAGGGAGAGAGTTAGCAGTGGGAGAGTAGCCAGTACAAACCAGGCACATTACTGCCTTCAGCGTCGTCTTCTGTGTCAGCATGAGGAGCCCAGGGCAGGAGGACCTGAGCAAGGACACAGTCTTCGGGGTCTTTAGCAGCCAGTGTGTGGTACTGCCATGAGTTTTTCCAGCTGGCAGGGTGTTGGAGGACCTGGCCAGGGCCAGTGCGATGGAGTTACGGGCAAGTAACTCCCTTTGGATGTCTCAAAAGGAAGAACTTCCAATCATAACATAACCAGCTGCTAAGAGAAGCAGTAAGCTTCCAGTTCCTGGAGGTATTCAAGTAGAGCTCGGCCAGCCCCTGAGCCAGCGTGAGGTACAGGGGGTGTATCGTCCCACGCTTACTGAGTGCTCTGTGGTCCACACAGCCCCAATAGCCAGCACCAACTCTGGCTGTTTCCTGTGCTCTCAGCGCGGCAGATCTCGTCATTCCCACACGCACGCAGTGGGAACCGGCTGAAGGAGGTGGCAGGACTGCCCAACACCTTACAGTTACTTAGAGGTAGAGGAACAAGCTCCGGTTTTCTGGTTCTTAGGTTAGCATTCTGCTGGACTGCCCACTGCAGAGTGAATGGTAAAGGGACACTGTGTGCCTGTGTTAGAATCCCAGCTCGGTGTGATCTGCGTCTCTGAGCTATGGCGCTCTCCTCTACAACACGGGAGTGATAGATCGGACCTCTGGAGAGGCCACAGGAGATCCCCAAAATAAGACCTGCTGACTGGGAGAGTGTGCATTGCCTGGGACACAGTGGATGCTCAGTGAGAGCGTCAGCGGCTGGTGTTGGCTCCGGTGGATGCTGGACGCGCACCGTCCCATGTGAAGCCTCACAGTGCCTCCTGTGCCCTGTGAGGAAGGCCATTCTGATGGGGATACTAATTCATTCCTGTTTTAGGAGTCATGCGTGTCATTTTACACATGAGGAAATGCAGGCTCAAAGAGACAAAGTAATTTGAATCCGAGTCTGCTGGGTTGCAGAGCCCATCTTCTCCACTGTCCTGCTCCTGGTTCCCAGGTCCATTAAGATTCCACCCATGCCTGGGCAAGCCTGGGGTCTGTCCCTGGCAGCCCAGCTGGCCTTGCAGAGAGCAGGGCATGGCTCCGTTCGCCCCGCTTTGGGGCAGCTGCTGATATTCCTCTAGGGGTGGGGGTAGGAGGGTGGGAGCTGAGCTGCCTGTCCAGGCTAGTGGGACATTCCTGGGGCATCTGTTTCAGGCCTCATGGACAGCACAACCAGGGCGAAATAGGAGAAAGTGGAGATCAAGAGGAAAGCGGTGTGAGGGAGGGGAGGGGCTGGGGAAGAAAGAAGGCGCCAGCTCAGCTAGCCCAGTGGTGGTGGGGTGGGGAGTGAGGCCCAGTAAATGGGAACGCCCGTGTAGGCTCCACCCCTCCAGAATATCACAATGCTCCCACGTCCCACAGTAGCTGGAATTTATATATGGCTTCAGCTGCCATCATGTGGCATAGTTTGCAGGTTTTAAAGTAGCGTGTGTTGCTTTCAGTTTTGCAAGTTTCTTTCTGTATTTGGAAGTTCAAGTTTTTTTTCAAGTTTCAAAGGTTTTTATAAACTAGAAAAGCCTGCGGGCTCTGAACACTGCCCGTGGTGCCCATGGAGAAAATGGCCCAGCAGCTACACATGAGCTGGGGGTCTTGAAGGAGGGCGGCCTGAGGCCTTTTGTCTGGTTCCCTGCCTCTGGAGGAGAAACCATTGATCTGCCCTTGACTCCAGTGGCTCCAACTGAAGGAGTCTCTAGGAGGGGAGAGGCTTCAAGACTTTATCGTTACTCGTCTTTGATCCAGTAGTCCAGGGCCATTTCTTTTTCAGCCCTTAATCCTTCCACTTGTGGACTGAAGATAGCTCGGCTTGTGCCTTCTGTTTCCACGCCTGTCCCTGAGGTAACTCTTATGGCGTGAGGGAGGGGCTGTCACTAGCAGTCACACAGAGTAAGCCTTCAGGGCTCTGATCATTAAGATGAGCTTACCGGAGTTGGGAACATGGGCTCTTTTGCCCTGTCCCTTCCACCATGACCGTTTTGTCTCTCAGGCTGTGGAGGCCGAAGCTAGGGGCCAGCCAGCACAGGAGCATGGAACCCAGGGGCCCTGGGGTTTTCTGATTCCTGGGCTGTGCCTGTGGCCGGGTCTATGGTCTGAACCAGTTCAGGAAACCACTCATTTTGGTATTTCTTCATTCCTCATGGAGTTCCTTACCCGCACCTCCATAGGATCCCTCTTGGAACAAGTGCACAAAATGATTCCAGAAGGAAAAGTTGTGTTTTCTGTCTCCTTTTGGTCAAAGGTCTCATCTCCTGGGGAAACAACTGGGAATTCCCAGGGCTAAAAGCAGTCTCAGCCATCCGTTCCCTGGCCTCTTTGGACGATTCTTCCCTCTTCCAGGAAGCAGAGCGATCGCTGCCCTAGATCGTGCTGCCCGGCACCTCCCACCATGCAGGCTAGTCCTCCCTTCTCACTTCGATTCTGCTGGCTGTCATTTAAGCTTTTCTTCCATGAGAAATGGAACAGTTGGTTTATGGATGTCCAGACCTGCTTCTCAAACTGAGGGCTTCGAGATAGTCTTAGGAATCTGGCAGTTCTACCAACACTTAAAAATTTTGCATTTTCACTTAGATGATAATCTAAAAATATACATATTTCCAATTATAGAGACCAAACTTTTGCAGTGAAACTCACAATTAAAAGAATTTGTGTGGCATAAGTAGGTATCTTGCAAATGCAGTCGGTGGGACCACTGTTGGGGGTTAGGGGGTGTCTGTGGATGGATTCTTGGTCTTGAAGAAATATTTTCCTTTATAAAAGAGCTCTACGTTATTCACTTTTGAAAAGTATTGATCTCTAGACCGTTGTTCTCAAATGCCATTCTCTACCGCTGCTAGCTGTTGATGCAATTTTTATTGGTCTGTAATGAAAAGAAAAAGTAGCGCTCCTACATGATCTGTATGCAGGGCACGTGTGAGCCACATTTTGAGAAACAGGGAGCTAGCCCACTCCCCCATTAATGTCGTCGTGCAGAAGGGGGAATGAAGGACCAGGGAGGAAAAGGCCCAGGGGCAGAATGGGGACCATGGCAAACAGGGACCACTGTAGGTGCATTTCTCCCAGAACTCTGGGGGGTGGGTAGTGGCAGTTAAGTTGCCAGCGTGCTCCAACCCCCAGTTGGGGTTGGAGCTGGGGCAGCTGGGGCAGCCTGGGTGGCTCATGGGTCGGAGCTCTGGTCTGTGCAGATGTGAGGGAACATTGCCCTCTCCTGTCAACATCCATTCTTTATTTGCCCTTCTGGGGGAACAGAAGACCCTGTTCCAGTCCTCAAGGTCCCTCAGGGTGCCTCCCAATTAGGTGTGATCTCAGGAGGCAAGCAGTTGGCAACTTTCTCCCTAAGCAGCCCTCTCTCTGTTGCTTACCTGATACAGATAGGCATCCTGTCACACCCCACCCCACCCCGCCTTAGTGCTCATGTCTGTGCTCTGTGTGCATTAAATTTGTGGAATTGAAACAAGTCCCAAAACCCATCTGGAAGCATAAGGAAGCACAAACCCATAAGAAACAAGGCCTGTGTTGAGCCCAGAAGAGACTTGTTCCCTGCATAATGCTAACTAGTAGCTCACATCCCTGCTGACATGCAGTGATAAAGAGAAAGTGACACCATGTCTGTTTTCTTGCCCCTCCACCCCCCCCACCAAAGGAGAGCCTGTTCAGAGAGGTAAGCCGTGGAGTGAGCTGAGGGTTGGAAAACCCATCCGGACTGAGGAGGGACACCGGAACCAGAGGTGGTCAGCTGGGGGGAGAGCAGACTCTGGGGACAGTGGTGTCCTCAGACAGTTGAGGAACAGTTGGGTGAGATACGAAACAGACTGGCCTAAGACTTCAAGCCCTAGAACTGGTAAGACTTCAGCTCGGTGCACAGAAGACCTTTCCAAAGGTCAGGCTCTCTACCATGGGAAAAGGCAGTTTTGAACGTAATGAGCATCCCAGCCTTGGGAAGACGCAAGCAGAGGGGAGTCTGTCCTTTCTTTTCTTGGCCCTTTCCCTGACTTTTCTGCCCGGTTTGAGAAGGCTAGTGTTTCCAGCTCAACATCACATTGAAACATAAAATACTTCAGACCATATCACTGGGTGATTTTGTCCAACTCCGGCTTCATGTCAAGGTTTTGAGTTAGCTGTTGTGTCCCTCAGCTCCATCCCTCAGAGTAGGGGATGGAGAGCTGGCCCCCAGCAGGCAGCTTGTATACCAGACATCTGGCACGCATGATCTCCCAGCGTCCTCACACAGGACTGTCACCATGTTGTATAGACGAGGAGTCCGTGTGCCAGAGAGGTTCATACATGGTGTTGGGAAGACCAGGATGCAACCCTCTGTCTGTTATCCTCAAGCAGCAGATGGCCACCGTGCCCATCTTAGGGATTCTCTGCCAGCCCATCGTCTTCTCAGACTCCTTGTTGACTCGGACAGCAGCACCAAGGTCATTTGAGGAGAAAACATCCTTCCTAACATCAGCCATGGAGACTTTTTTTTGGAGGAGAGGCTAGGAGCCCTTGATTTCTAATCCTCCAACCACTAGTTTAGTTCGGTGTTCAATCTCGACCCCTTTTTGGGATACCAGGTACCCTTTCATCTGGAGCCCAGGGGCCTTTCTTCTGGACCTTTTCTGTGAGTGCCTGTCCTGTCTGCCTCTAAGAGGTGCGGGGATTCAGTAAGTCCACATCTGTGAAGCTCTGTAGACCAGATCCTAGCACACAACATGTGGTCTTTCTTGGAAAGAGACCGTGAGGAATGTGTCAGAATACACACGATATTGTTGATGGTGGCGGCACCCACAAGGGCCCCAGCAGAATGTCACGGGGCTGAGGTTTATGGAGAACTGACTCACTTAAGGAACCTTGCTGGTTTTTTTTTTTTTTTTTGGAACCTTGCTGTTTATCCCGGAGCACCTTAGTGTGGTGCCACAACCGGTCCTGCTCTCAGTTTTTCAAAGGGTGTGCGACTTAATGTTGACTTTGGGTGATGGAATGAATAGAATGTATGGGCTGGAAACTGTCACTAGGCGATTCTCTTCTGTGGTTTAGAAAGGGAGAGCCATGATGTCCCTCAAGTGGTATCTTTGACTCACCCAGGAGGGGCTGGATGACATCAGGGGTAGGAGGCTGGGGGGCTCCGTGCCTCATTTGCAAAAGTAGCAAGTCTCCAGGGCAGCCATGTTTGCAGATGGCCCTTCTTCCTGAATTGGCTTCCCGTATCCATACTGTTATCCTTCTGAGCCTGTTTTCTGAAGCTGCATTCCTGAGGACCTCAGCCGGCTCCCACAGTAAGGAAAATCCACGAGCCCACTTAACGAGGAGGCTCGGGGTGACTCATGGCTCTGTGGGGTCCTCGGCATCCGGATTCTTTCCCTTCCCCACTCTGCCATCTTGGCTTGTTGCCTTCATCCCACGGGCTTGATCCCCACGCCCCAGAGTGGCTACTGCAGTTCTGGTGCAGAATGTCGCCTCTCTTTTGGCCATCCTCAAGCTCCCAGCCACCATCTCCTCAGACCCCACTGGCAAGGGGAGAGATTTGGCAACCACCTTAGACTGATTGATTTAACCCCTTGTTCCACTGAGGAATATGGTGGGGATGGCCATTTTACGTGAGCAACACATACCTCCATTTGTGTATCTTGGCATGTGTCTGCCCTCTGTTCTACCTCCTACTAGCTGGGGCCCCTGGTCAGGTCCCTTGGCTTCTCTGAGCCTTAGCTGTGAGATGGGATGGAGGAGAGCCACACCATGGGCTAGTGGTGAGATTACATTTGAGCTCTTCGCAGAGAGCCTGGTGATCATAAGTCCCCAGTAAACGTGGCTACTCTTCTTTTCCACGTGCTGCCCATGTGTCTGTCCTTGTGCTGGGACCAGGGAGTCACAGGAGAGGAGTCAGAGAAGGTCAGGCCTGACCTCTGTCTTAAGGAGCATCCAGTCAGGGAAACCAGATGTGTTCCTAGAATTAGGGCAGTTCTCTAAAGCCCAGGGCCTGTGGGAGGGTTCGCTCTATGTTAACTAGCTGTCCTCACTGTGGTTACTGTTCTTGGGTCTGGTTGCAGAACAGCAGAGACCTGCAGAGTGGTCTGGGGGTGCGGTCATCACCTCCCAGGCCTGTCCCTGCTGTAGGCTCAAAGCATTCTTGACTGTAGCTGTTCTTATCCATGCACATGGACCAGCAAGTCCCGACCATCCTGGTTTTCCCTCCTGGATGTGTCACTGTTTGCCAACATGCCCTTTGCTCTTTGGTGACCCTAAGTGGGCACAAGGCCCTGTGTGGCCTGAGTGTGCCCAAGCGAAGGGCTGTGTCTACAGACCCCCTGAGAGGACAGGGGCATCTGGTGGGCTGAGCGCCAGTGATCGGGTCCCTGTCGCTTCTCCCTGCAGAGGGCCATCCGTGTGCGTAGCCACTCCATGGAGACCATGGTGAGCAGCCAGAAAAAGCAGCACAGCGGGGGCATCCCTGGCAGCCTCAGTGGGGGCATCTCGCACAACAGCATGGAGGTCACCAAGACTACCTTCTCGGTGAGTGCCTCGGGCCCTGGGGCAGCACACGGTTCCCAGGGAGGGTGCCTCTTCTGGCCCCCCACCCCTGCCCCGGGCCTGCGAAGGAGGGTCTGTTCACCCAGGCTTGGGCTGGGAGTCCAGAGCAGGGACTGGGGAGATCGAGGCTCTTTGGGGGTGACCCTAGGCCCTGCCTGTGATTCGCAGTCTCTATCCCAGGCACTGCTGGGGCTGGCCCAGACTAGAAGCCCGCCCATTGTCCTGTTCTAAGGGTGGGCCCCCCTTAGAGTGGTTCTGGGGCATATTTCTCTGCCCAGTGTCTTGGGACTCAGGAGGGGTGTCGTCACTTTGTTATTAACGATCACAGTAGCCACCCTGCCTTGCTGTGCACTAGGGACTGAGCGAAGTAATTCATGGACATGCTTTCATCTGATCCTCGTAACAGCTATTTGAGGTAGGAACTGATGTATTCTCCATTTCAGACTTGAGGAAAGGAGGCCCAGAGAGGCTTAGTAACCTGCCCTGGGGCCCTTAGCTAAGCTGAAGGGCTGGGATTTGAATCCATATCTCCCTGACCCAAAGTCTTTGCCATTAATCACTGTGTGTGCAGTTCCCAAGGCCGGAGCCTGGTGTGGCTGTGGGTTTGGGCCTGGTCTCTTTGCACAAGCAACTGGCCAGGTGAAGGAACCACATAGTTGGTCCATTTATAAAAAACAAAGTGACTTTGGATTTATATAGACAAGGGTTTTCTTTTCTTTTCAAATAGAATACACCCACCTTGATACTCAGGATTTGCGTTCTAAGTGATCTTACATAATTCATTGAACTTACCAGATATTTTCATAGCTGTTATCTTGTTCCACCGAGAGGGTCTTTGAAAGGAGCAGGGCGGGACAGTTATCCCTGTTCTGTGGATGAGGAGATTGGGGCCTGCATTAGAGGCCTGGTGGACTCTGAAGAATGACCACAGTCTCCCTTTCCTCAGTCCCGTGCTTATCCCCCTGCATGTGCTGACACAGAGCCACGTTCTTGGTGGGTTCTCGGCAGGTTCCTTCGGCCTGTGGACCTGGCTTTGCTGCTTTCGTTCCATCTTGTTATAGAGATGCCTGGCTTGGACCCACTTATTTGTGAGGAGAGTCAGAGTCCTGAGTTCTCGTCCCTTTCCTGCCATCAATTTGCTCTGTGACCTTTGCCCAATCCCCTCATCCTTTGGCTCCTCAGCTTCCTCAGGGGTAAAGCGAGAGGTTGGACCAGGTCTCTCCCAGGGCCCCCTCAGCCGTGTGGTTCTCAGTCTTTGACACCCCCGAAACACCCTGACCTTGGTATGCCGGGCTGTCTTTATGGTGGCCTTGACCCCTGTTCCTCCAAGAATTCTGGTCTTTGGTGATTATTACGTGGGGCCACGAGCTTTGGCTTAAGAACACAGGGGAACAGGCTGCCGTGGCAGGAGTCTTGGGGTCTCAGTCCCTGTTGCGTGGATCCTAGCCTCCCGAGCGGCCTCCCTATTTTCTGGGATCTCCTGTAGACTCGGGGGTTGCAGGAGCTGTTTGTAGACCAGAAAAGGGGGTGAGAGGAAGGAGTTGGGGTCCGAGGTGGGCTGTGGACACTCATTTCGGTGGTTTCATTGACAGCCTCCGGCAGCGGCAGCAGCAGCAGCAGCGGCGGTGAAGAACCAGTCACGGAGCCCCATCAAGCGGCGGTCAGGGCTCTTCCCCCGGCTGCACACAGGCTCTGAAGGCCAAGGCGATGGCCGGACACGATGGTAACTGTCCAGCATGTGTTTGTGGGTCCTGCCACCGCTGCCAGATGCCCAGCCTTGGGGATGGCTTTGTGCAGCTCTGGTAGATGGCAGCCTTCTAGCCTTGGTCCCCGCATTAGGTCACTCCCTCTGCTCCACCCCCTGAGACAGATTTGGCCAGGCTCTCTTCGGGACTTTCCAGAACTGTCTGTCGTGTCTGGACCCAAACTAGAAACATTGCTTGGATTCTTTTCTTTTCTTTACCTCCTTTCCCAATGCTCACTCAGATGTTCACTCTTATCGAAGCCTTCTGCGATTCTGCCAGATAGTTCCCTGAACTTACGTTAGGGCTTCTAGAATGTTTTCCCTTTTGTTAAAAGCAGCTTTCATATTGCACCATCCTTAACCTGTTCTTGCTAATTGTCTTTCTCGTCCTTTAATGGTGAGCCCACTTGTTTAATTCAGCAAGCAGTGTTCGAGTGCTTGCTACATGCTGGGGTCTACGCTCAGGCAAGAACTACAGAAGCCCCACACCTGGTTGACTTCCAGGTTGCTGCCCTGGATGGTGGTGGTGGTGCCCTGAGCTCAGGCATGCAGGGTGAAGGGCAGGTTCACTGAGGGGGATGAAAAACTCTGTTTGGGACCTATACTTGTGAGAGTCCTTATGGCCTACCCAGGAGAGAAGTGCAGAATTCTGAGTGGTCAGACGGCAGGCCTTGAGCTTAGGAGTGAGGCCTTGGCTGCAGAAGGGAGTCACTGGGGCACAGGTGGTGTTTAAAGATGGATCAACGAATACAACCCCCCAAGGGAGTGTGTAGAATGCCTGGGGAACACCAGTATCTCAGGACAAGGGGAGAAAGGGAAGGAAGACGAGAAGAAGGCCTGGAGAGGAAGAATTCCAGGAGGGAGGGTCCACCATGTCAGATGTGCAGAGAAGCCCTATTCCAGGGCCTAAACCCCTGCTTGGGGGGACAATTAGGAGGTCATTAGCAGCCTCACTAAAAGTGCACTGAGCCTCTGAGATGGTTGTCATCAAAAAGACACGTAATGACAAGTGTCAGCAAGGATGTAGAGAAATTCGAATCCTTGGGCTTTGCTGGTAGGAGCGGAAACTAATGCACCTGCTTTGGAAAACAGCTTGGCAACTCTTTGGAGAGTTAAACGTGGAATTACCATATGACCCAGCAGTTCCATTCCTGGTCTACACCCGAGAGAATGTATGTCGGCATGAAAACTAGCACACAGATGTTTCTAGCAGCATTACTCATAATAGCCCAAAGTGGAAAGGATCCAGATGTCCATGGTTCAGTGAAGGGATAAATAAAATGTGGTGTTTCTGGAAAATGGGATTTTTTTTTTTTTTTGCAATAAAAAGCAGTAAAGTACTGCTATATGCCTACAACTTGGATGAACCTTGAAAAGATTGAGTGAAAGAAGCCAGTCAGAAAAGACCAGAACAGGTCATGTGATCTCATCCGTATGAACTGTCTAGAACCAGCAAATCCAGAGAGACGGAAAGCTGATCTGTAGTTTCCAGGGGTGGACAGAGAATGGTTATGTGTGGGTCTGGAGTTTAAGAGAGTCTAAATTGTTCCAAAATGAGATAGCGGTGATGGTTGTACAACTCTGTGAGTAGACTGAAAACCATTGAATTGGACACTGTTAATTGGGTGAATTCTATGTGGATCGTATCTCAGTAAAGCTATAAAAATTGCGTTGAGGACAAGGCCACCTTGTCCCCAGCAGGGGGCACAGGACAGATGGTGGGTGGCGTACTTGGTCTTTGTTGAACTCCAAGAGAAGGAATCCCTTGAGCCCTTGGCCAAGAGTAGCCCATTGGCCAAGATGCCCTTCCCAGCCACCTTGTCACACAGATCCAGGGAGCTCGTCCTGTGGTCTGTATAAAGGGCATCATGCACAGCGACCCTGCCTGCCCCGCCACCGAGCACATGCGCATTGGGTTACTCTCCCCGCTGTGGAAGTGTGTGTCATAGGCCCTCCGGCTCTTGACTTTGAGCCCTGCCAGGTGGGATGGCCAGCATCGGTGGGGAGTGGATATGGGCTTGGCGGCATCCAGCCAGGACTCTTGCTCGATCACTCTTGACTCACCCAGGAGCCTGTGGTAGCCACAGAGGAGGCAGGGACCCCTGCTGTCCGCTGCGGCTCTAGTGGGCCTTGGGGGAATGGAGGTCCTGGTGGCTGTGCTCTGGCAGGGGATGCTGTGACCCCACAGGCCCTGTGGCACTGAGAGCTGCTTGGGCCTGTCTCGGGCCTGGGGGTGGGATGGGGGCTTAGGGGCTGGCCCTGCGACCTCACCCCTCTTTATTCCTCTTTCCTTAGTGACAGTGCATCCAGCAACCCCAAGACCCCAGATGGTGCACACTCTTCTCAGGAGATGAAGTCTGAGGCTTCATCCAACCCCAGTTCTCCGGAAATCTGCCCCAACAAGGAGAAGTAAGAGAGCGAGGGTTAGGGCAGGGCAGAGGGTGGGGGCAGGGCCGGCTGGAGCTGCCTGGAATGCGCTCTCAATTAGAGCCAGCCTTTTTGCCTTGAGAACTCTGTGAAACACAAAAGCCAGCGGGGGAGGGGGAGTCACTGCCAGGTCTGCCCTGTCTGGGGGATGGGCTCCGTGAGTGACCAGGCCTGTCCTGCTCCCGTTCCCACAGGCCCTTCATAAAGTTGAAGGAGAATGGCCGAGCCAACATCTCCCGCTCATCCTCCAGCACCAGCAGCTTCAGCAGCACGGCGGGGGAGGGGGAGGCCATGGAGGAGTGTGACAGCGGGGTAGGTGTGGCTCCCTCCAACCCTGGGGAGCAGGGAGAGGCACCCTGGGTCCAGCCAGACTCCGGCTGTGTGCATTCAACTAGCTGCTGTGGGTAGAGCCCCATCCAGGCTCTGAGGATGGGGGTGTGGGGAGGCTGGGAAGGGGAAGTATGGAAACAAGAAAGAGATGGGCCAGTCAGCTGTCTCTTCTCCCTGGGAGTGACACAGGAATAGCAGCAGAGGGCCAGGGGCCACACTGAGTGGGGTCCCTGCTGTGGGGTTCCTGGCCAGAGAAGAGAGGATTGGGGCACTTCTGGGGGCAGCAGAAAGAGCAGGTCCATGCGGAATGTGGGAGGCAGTGTCGGTGTCAGACCTGCCATGGCACAGGCCACCCTGTGGGGCCGCTGAGGCTGGAGCTGGCCTCACTCACCCAGCCTCTCTCCCCAGAGCAGCCAGCCATCCACCACCTCGCCCTTCAAGCAGGAGGTGTTTGTCTACAGCCCGTCCCCGAGCAGCGAGAACCCCAGCCTGGGGGCCGCAGCCACCCCCATCATCATGAGCCGGAGTCCTACAGGTCAGTGGGGTCTGGGGCTGTGTGCCCTGGGGCCGGAGGGGCAGGGCCTGTGTTGTGACCATGGGTGTGAGCTCCAGCCACACCACACCAACCGGTTTCCGCTCCAGCCCCCAAGTGTTAGGCCCTTGAGCTCTGCTAGCTCATTCTGTCTGTTTGCGGAGTGTTCTTATCATCTCCTTACTCATGGGGAAACAGAGGCTCCGGAAGCTCAGTGATTGGGTAGAGGAGTTGGGATTTGAAAGTGGAGGCTCTTTGGCTGCACCCCATCCCTGATGCTGGGTGCCTGGGCTGCAGTGATGACCATGACAAGTGCAAGGGTACAAAGTGGGGTGAGTGTTGCAGCTGGAGGGAAATGTGAGTGGTTCCTTGGGCTGCAGTTCGCAGAGGAGACAGGTATGAGAGGAGATGGCAGATAGGATGCTGGGCCGGGGCCACTGTAGAGACCCTGGCAAGGACTTGGGTATTGTCCTGCTGGCAAGAGAAGCCACTGGAGGGTCTTATGTAGTGAAGCGCCATCTGGACTAGGTGGCCGCAGCTGGCTGAGTAGACGGGGTGGGTGGGCAGTGGAGGCGGAGGGAGATCAGTGAGGGGTCACAGTGGGCAGTGAGGGTGGCTGGGCTGTGGGTTGGGGCTGTCTGGAGCAACGGAGAAGGATGTAGATGCAAGAGATATCAAGGAGGTAAAATCTTCCACTCAGTAGTGGGGGTTCAGGGAGAGCAAAGAATCTGGGCCCTTGGGGCTTCTGGGATCCTTGTGGTCAGACAGAGTATGAGGCAACAGCTCTGGGGAGGGGGGAGGGGTTGGCACTCGAGGGGATGTGCATGATAGGTATGGTAGGGCACCATCACCCAGAAATCAGAGCCTTGTCCGGCCCTCGAGGAGGGCAGCATCGTGTGGGGGCAGGTGCAGGACTGGGGGGTTTGGATCCAAATCCTTGATATGCGACTTACTGGTGACACCAGGCAGGTTACTGAGCCTTTCTATGCCTCAGTTTCCCTAAGCAAAGGATGAAGGGAGCAGAATAGTTCCTACCTCTTTGTGGTTGGTTGTGTGAAGATTAGATGAACTCACAGTCATCAGAGACTTAGAACTGTTAACCTGAATGTTGGTTAGGTTAAATGGCAGGAATAAAACAATAGTGTAGTTAATAGTGCTCAACCTGGGGCATCCTGTTCCCGAGGGCGCATTTGACAGCATCTGGATGTGTTTCTGCTTCTCATGATTGTGGGAGGAGAGTGCCCTGCACCTGATGGATAGAGGTCAGGAATGCCGCTAAACATCTGACAAAGGATGGAGCAGCCCCCCCCATAAGAAAGGATTTTCTGGCCCGAAACATCCATCAGCTGAGGCTGAGAAACTGGAGTCTGATGATAGGAGCATAGAGAGAGCCCATTCCTGGGCTTTCTGTCACATGGCCCCCTGTGCTGGGCGGCTGCAGAGTTGGCTTCCAGTCCTGGCTGGGGCAAGGACGGGCTCACCTCTCTGAGCCTCAGTCTCCCCTTCTGTAAAACCCCCAAGCACCCAAACTCCTTGTTCTAATATAAATGCCGTGATTTTTAATAAGGCGTAATTAAATATTGAAGGAATGAATGAAAAAATCTGTAACCAAGCCTGGCTCTTACTTGATATTAAATAAGTACCAAATCAAATAAGGTTCTGAGTAGTGGGAGGTTTTGAGACGGTTTGCCACTTGCTGAAGGTCACCCGGGGCACAGGGGGACTTTGAAGGGACCTGACGAACCCCTCCTGGGTTTCCTGCACCACACATGGGCTGCTGTCATCCCCTTCCCCTGTGCAGTACTGAACCCCTGGCCTCCTGCTGCCAGCCTCATGGAGGCTGTGCTGGGGACCCGCAGGACTGGGGTCAGTTTGCAGACTTCTGGGAACCTGTTATAAGCTGCTTGGCGCATCTGGGAAGAGGGGGATCCCCTGGGAAGGCCTGATGTCGAGCATCTGTGGTCTCTGATCCCCAATCATCAGCATGTCACATCTGGGTGCCTGGGGTCCTGAGAGGGGATTGGCACATCTGACTGAGAGGTACTCACAGTGCTGGCTGGAGCCCCTCATCCGAAGCACCAGAAGGAAGCCAGTAGCCTCTGGCTGCAGTGTACTGACCTGTAAACTCCCCCAAGCAGAGGAAAGCCAGAAAGCCGAGTGGTCCCCCTGGCTGGGTGTGCTGGTCATGTTCCACGCCCAGCTTTCCCATGGCACACTCGTGCATGTGCACACACACTTGTGTACTGATACAGATAATGCTGCATTAGACTTCTTTATTCTAAATCTCATATTGCCAAATGATTCTCACCGAGCACTCCGATCGCTCTTTGTCTAACCTCTTTATGTGTGGATAACTGAAAGTTGCAGAGGACCAACAAGGTGTAATTATTTTTTTTAAGATTTTATTTCTTTATTTGAGAGAGCAAGAGAGAGAGAGCAAGCACAAGCAGGGGAGGCAGCAGGCAGAGGGAGAGGGAGAGGCAGGCTTCCCACTGAGCAGGAAACCTGATGTGGGGCTCAGTCCCAGGACCCTGGAATCCTGACCTGAACCCAAGGCAGCTGCTTAACCAACTGAGCCACCCAGGCGTCCCCAGCAAGGTGTAGTTCTGACACGACTGACGATCGCTCTTTTGTCAGGAATGTAAGCCAGCCAGCCACTTCTTTGCTGAATCACATCCTAATTCTTGAGGGTCAGATGAGAACTGACTCCCATGTTTGTGCTGGTCCTAATGTAATGGGTGCAGACACGACGCATTTTCAAATCTCATTAGTATTTTTTTTTAACTTGTTCTTCATTATTTGAAGCCTAGACAATGAAACAGTAGGTCAGGCCCTGATTTTGCAGCGTCCACTGCTTTCCATGCTTGGAGGGCTCGACCACGGCTGAGCGCTGGCCCGCAGTGCGCTGCCAGACAGATGGCCACGGACAGAAGTGACCCAACGACAGCTGATAACAGTAAAAATCAGTGCAATAATTAGGGAGTGAGGACTTTTGGGTATTTAATATCTTTGATGATTATCATTTATTGAATTGTAAATTTCTGTAATTTAATTTAAAAAAAATGCCTGGGTTTACCAAACAGCTCACGTTTCTAAAAATTTCTAAAGATTTGAGAGTTGGCTCTGATAAAATGCCACAGGTCAGCTGGAGTGCCTAGGGGACAGAGGAGGCCCCCCCCCACTTGCACCCCCCCCAAACAGCCCTAGTGACCTCTGCGGACCCGCCCACCTTTCATGGAAACTTCTTTTTCCTAGATCCCAAAAGCAGAAACTCCCCGAGGTCAAACCTGAAATTCCGCTTTGATAAGCTCAGCCACGCCAGCTCTAGTGCGGTAAGGCTTAGGGGCATGAGGATAGGGGTGGGGGGTAGTGGGGGAGTCGGGGGGAGCCTCCCGTATCCCACCTTCCAACCCCCTCCCAAAGACAGCTGTCTTTCCTGGGGGCCGGAGGAAGGGGTGGCTCATACAGCACACTGGGAGAAGGAAAGTTCTGGTCAGATCTGGCGGTCATGTCACAGTCCCCACATGGTACAGGCATGTACCATGCATGGTACGTGGCCTAGGGGTGCTGGCCAGCTCTACCACACCTCCCGTGTTAACTTCATACCCTCAGACACATGCAGGTGGGAGTTGGGAACTCTTGGCTCCTGGGGCCTCATGTCCCTTCCTTAGCTCGCAGCTCAGAGAGCTGCGAGCTGAGCGCACAGAAGCTTCAGTCGGTGGGGATTATGTTGTCTAGTTATTTAAAACTCTTGTATGGGTTTTTCTTGAAACAGGGTCACTAATGTGAAAGAGGAGTCCTTCGCTTGTCAAAGGTGGGTCAAGTGTTTGTCCTGCTGTTGCCACGAGGGGAGATGTGTCCATGTTAAGATCAGAGTACTCGTGGTCTACTAACCCCAGGGATCCTGAGCTGGGGAGGACCGCTCGCCTCCTCCCTGAAGCCTCTGGGATGGGGCCCTGGTCTGGGTGGAGGAAGACAGCAGACAGCCTCGGGTGCGGGTGGGAAGGGTTGCCAGGTACGATCTGCCCAGACTCACTGAGCCGGTCTCCCTGCCTTGGGAAGGGATGGCTTCCAGTAGACAGACGGGCAGTAGCCCAGACCTCACCTTCCTCCCTCGGACAGGGGATTCCTCCATTTGTCCCCTTGTCTCCTTGTTCTTGGTAGCCTTTCCCTCCTTGTATCTTCAGCCAGGGCTCTGGCCTGAAATGTGTCCTCCCTGCATGTTCAGAGATGTCCTAGTCCCTCAGCATTGTGTGGGATGACCCAAGGGAGGCTCCTCCGCTGCGGGAGTGCATGGTTTTCAGCAGAGTCGGGCCTGGTTCCAGTTTGTCACCACCAAGGCCTGACCCCCTGCTGGTAAATTTACTAGAGAGCCATTTGCCTTCCCAGCCCTCTCCCCGCTGAGGGGGCTGAGTCACAGCTGGAGCCAAGTGGGGGCCACTTTGTATAAACCCGATCTGTGAAAAAGTAGAAGAGATAGTGGGAATTCTGACATTCATCTTCACCCTGCTCTGTTCACCACATCGGTGTTTATGCCCAGTTGCTCACGCTGCCTGATGTCTGGCACCCTTGTCTTTGGCCCCTCATGTTCCAAGCCCTTTCAGGGGGCTGAAGCCACAGGCACAAGTTCTCCTTCCCTTCCTTATGCCGTGTTTGGTCATCCTCTCCCTCCTTCTCTCCTCCAGGGAAGCCCTGATTCTGTCTTGGAGAAGGCCTTTTCCCAGCAGTTTGGGGGTGCCATCCACGACTCTGACCGTCACAGCCCTGCTGCCCCACCAGCCACCTGCCCACAGACCAGCCGTCTGTCCCCATGTCCCGATCTGGCCACCGCCCTGCCTGTCCCCTAGCCAAGACACCCTGTGAGCGCTCTCTTTCTCTGGACAAGGCCACCTCCCTCAAGTCTCCTCCTGCTCCTGACCGCCCATGTGATGTGTGTCTGGCCCATCCATCATCTTGTTTTGTGCACAGAAGAAAGAGTTGGACTTGGGGGGATCTGGGCCCCGGGGACTTGGTCAGAGATTAGTGGGGCAGAGAGTGGTGAGGTGGGGTGCGGGGGCCATCAGCATAATGCTGCATGGGGAGGGGGGCAGCCTGTGCCCTGGATGTGGCAGGCACAGTGAATCCATTTAGTGGTGGTGGAACCAAGATTTGTAGCCATCCTCCATGATGTTGTGACAGGAATCAGCAGTGTTGCTCCCACACCTGTGTGCTTGTGTGCTGGGGGCTGCTTTCTTGCCCACCTGCTGACTTCAGGCCTGGCACTGCCTCTGGTCCTGTGGCCAGTGTGTCCTGGGTGCCGGCAGCAGAGGCGAGACAGCTGTATGTGTGTGGAGGTGGCCCCGCGTCATTGCTGTGGGACAAGCCCTGGGCAGGTCTCTCCCCTCGGGGTGGGTGTTTTCCCCAAGGAGGGATGGGCAGCCCCCGAGCAGGAAGGAATCGAGGAAGAACAAGCTGGTGAGCTGTGTTCTGGGACCTTGGCTGGGCGGGGATTAGGCCCCCGCTGGTGGTGGAGGCTCGTGGAAGAGTTCCCTGAGCCCACCACTGAGGTCAGAGCCGGGGAGGCGAGGCGGGGGGCTGACCTGTCCACCTCGGTCAATGTGTGGACGCAGCATGTAGGCGTGAGAAAGGAGCGATGTCCCTCTGGGATTTCTACTCTTGGCGTCTGTGGTGGGCCTAGAGCTACCTTGGGGCTCTTTCCAGCTGCTGTGCCCTTTGGCCTGGTTGGTCCTCCGATCCCCTTCAACCGTGAGTCTGGAGGCGGTGGTCACATTAGTGGGATTTTTATGATGTGGGCCCCAGCTAGAGGCAGCTCAGAGGCTGCCTGCCGCCTGCCCCCTTGGCCAGAGCCAGCTCACTCCCGGGAGAAGTTCCCCTTTCCCTGCTTCTCACCCATCCTTGTCTGCAGGGCGGAAAGTCGCTTCTGCAGCCCGGCCCCTGGTGGAGGGTAAGGCGGGGTGTCCTCCGCAGAGCCCTGTGGGTGTTGGCACTTCGGGTGCGTGGGGCCCTGTGACACGGGATAGTCCCGGGGCCTTACGCTGGGCCCCTGCTTCTGGGAGCAGGTGACACAGATTTTTACCACCTGTTTCATCTGCATTGGGATCTGGGCCTATTCCAAAGTCAAAGCAATCCCAAGTTAATGTCATACTTGTTTTTGACTGATGTGACAGTTTCCCCATTGCTTTGCCATTAGAGCAAAACCTTGATCCTTTGTCTCTCACTCTTGTGGACATGGCGGGATCCTCTTTGCAGGCTGGGTGGACCTTACCCCTCACACTATTTGGGAAATGTGTTTACTTAAAATACTAGTCCGGTAAAATTTCTTCCAGTGAGAAGGTCAACAAACATCTGTTTAGGTTTTATTAAAAATCACTGTAGCAGCACCCACTGCTGGAATGAGGTCTGCGGATTCTGGCAGTGTTCTGTTAGCTGGCTTGCTGAAGGAACTTGAAAGGTCAAACTGCATTTAAAAGGAAAAAAAAACAACAACAAAAGCCCAACTATTCCAGGTTCTGGCTTGCTTCTCAGGTAGCTGGTATTTACAGCTGCTTGGTGGTTGTGTTGTGTTGTGGTCTGGGGGTCCTCTGGAGTTTCCTGGTCATCCCCACCCTGTTCTCTTACCTGCGTTGGGAACCACATACCTGTTTTCCTCTGCTGCTCCGGCTGCTCCTTCTGCAGCCCCCACCTGCTGGGAGGGCTGTGTCCCCGCCTCTGAGCCGGGATGGCTGAGAGTGTCCAGGGACACCGGGAGGCACAGATATGCTCCCTACAAAACAGACCTGAGAAGTGGTCTCTACCTGCTCTTAGCTACTGGGGAGTGCGCTGGGCAGAGTCTGAAATGTCCCTCTCTCTGGGTCCTGTTTTACCTTCTTTAGAAAGCCCAGTCCATATATGGCTCCTAGAGTACACACGAGCAGCCCCTGAGGTCCTAGGGCTGAGGGGGAGGAAGAGGACAGGGAGTGGGCAGTCTTATGTCACCCCCCTGGACCATGGGGTGGACAGCTTGGGTTCATGAAGGCTGCTTTCCCCATATCCTCTTGCATCTGCTCTGGCCCAAAGTTTCCTTTTATTGCTGTGCCCAGTCTTGGGGCTCAAAGATTTGCTCAAGTCTCCTTGGTCCCTGGGACCAGACTCATCCTGACGGTGCTCATGCTGGTATTTGAGGCACTCTGCTTGTGATCTGGACACAGGAGAAGTGTTTCCTGGACATGTCTCTGCTTCTGGGAAGGGCCTGACTCGTGGAAGAAGCTGCACTGGTCAGGCTTTGCAGGGCACCCAGATGCCTCTGCTCAGTGATGCTTACTTAATTAACTACAGATGCAGAATGAGCTTGAGAGAGAAGGTTGGAGCTTGAGTTTCTAATGAAGGGAAATGAATGAATGAATGAAAAATGAGTGAAAACTGTTGTATGGTTTCAGCCTTGTTGGTATCATCTCGATGTCTAAGGCTTCTGGGCCTCTTTTGACATCTAATCCATCCATACTGTCATCCTGCTGAGAAACCTTGGGCCCAGTGAGGGGACATGGCTCACTGGTGGTCGCACAGCCAACGAGTGGCAAAGCTGGGATTGGAGCCCACAGCCCAGCCTGTTCTTCAGCTTCGCCTACATGGCCGGTAGAACCGGTGGCTGCACTTGCTGGGGTCCTGAGTTTCGGAGGAGCTGGCCAGCTAGTGCCTGGGCACTGGTTGGGAGCTGTCTGCAGTCAAGATGGGATGTCAGTCTCTTCATTTTATGTGCTCAGTTTTCCAGGGAGGGTGCTGGGGTTTTGGATGCAGCTTGAGCAAAGAAAGATTTTAGTGGACCATTTCTGGTAATCTCAGTTCTTCAGCTCTGGTCTGTAATGGGGGTGGAGGCCAGGGAAGAGAGCAGTTAGCAAGCCCTCAGTTTCCCCATCTCAAGTTCAGAAGAAAAGTGGTAAAAGAAAACTCTTCTCCCTGATCTTTAAACAAGGGTCGTTAATAAAATATAGGCTCCTGTGCTGATGTGGGACGAGAGCCAGAGTCACTTTCTTACACTGACTGGTTAAGGTGCCAATGCAAACACTACCTTCCTCATTTGATTCTGAGTCAGCAGAGACAGGTTGTTATTGGGGAATGGCCAGGGTCAGGTAGGTGGCTGGCAGGGGACCCATGGTTCCTCCCCAAAACTCTAGCTCCCTTTCTCCAAGGTGAGAGTGGGCCAGTGGAGTCTCTCAAGTCTGCCAAGGAACATTAAAAGCTCTGCTGTCTGTTTTACTACTGCCCCTCACCCACCCCAACCCCACATCTCCCTCCTTTCAGTCGGACCATCTGCCCCTTTGGGAGAAAGGAGACCACCCCCACCAGGGCCAAGGATGGTGGAGCCCTGCCTAGTGAGAGGCTGTTGGGACAATGGCTCTGTCCCGTGCCTTAGCGGCACTGGGGAGAGGGTGTTTGGCTGGAAAACTGGAATGAAAGGCCATCGTCTTTGATTTTGTAATATTTCCACTTGGAACGGTCAGTTCCTCCTTCCCGCTCCTTAGCATGTATGCCAGCACTCCCGTCATGGGCGTTTCCCTTCTACACTCCAGCCCGGGGAGTGCTGATGTTCTAGTGTGAAGAGATCCCTTTGTGTGATAGAACTTAAGACGTGTAGCTCGGAAATGATGATCCGTGTGCTGATGACTTTTCTTTCTTTCCTCTTCTTGAGGAGGTGATTCGTAGACCCCGACTGCCTATGTAATGTAAATAATGTACATTTAATTTATTGCTATGGTAGCACATTGTATTTGTTAATGTATAAAACAAATTCTAAAAGGTCGACAAATGTATATTTTGTTGCTTAAATGTGTCTTTGCAGAAATTGACAATAAATAACATATTTTGTGTCCATCATCGTTCAGAGTTCTTTGCTTGGCCCCAAGCCCTGAGCCTCATCTCTCATCAGAGGTTGAATATTGGCATATCTGTACGGCCATATCTGTACGTGTGTGACTTTGGCCTGAAGAGTATTCTAGAATACTTGAATTGGTTGCCAATGTTTAAAAAATGGTTGATGTTAAGACCACAATGAAAATGAAAAAAAAAAAAAAAGATCCCAACCCAGAATTGTCGTATAAAATCTGAGATTTTTTGCTTCTCCTAAAAAACCAGATGTTGGATCCACTCCATAGGCATGGTACAAATTGGTCAGCAATTCCCAGAGGCTACTCCTCTGGTGAGACTTGAGTCACTGCAGTCCCCACCCTTTTCTACCATTTATACCTGGAGCATTTCATCCATTCCTGTTTTGTGCATGGCCCCTGTTGGCATTTGAGTTTGAGACCCCTGCTATCCACTGATTTGTCTCCATCCTGCAGTTTTCCTCCTCCTACCCATTTTTTCCACATTCCCAAGTCTCCTCTTCAAGGGTTCTTTTGTGATGAACTGCCCTCTCTCCTAGCCACCTTCGACTCCCAAATGGCCCTCCTCTGATGTACATTTTGCTTTACAATATTTGAATGTAGGTTTTACAAGAAATATCTGCACTTTTTTTTTTTTCCTTAAGAAATTTGAAGACAAGTAACAGGTCTTTTTCAGCTAAGACTTGGTGGTGTGATCTTGGGCAAGTCACTTCTCTGGGTTTGTGTTTTATGTATAATCAGAAAAATAGCCCACAAGCAAAGCATGAGGATGAAGTCAATCCATAATTGGGAAAGAACTTTGAAAAAAAAAGGGGCCAGTGTTATTCAAGCATTGGAGGTTCAATAATAATTGTTACTATGATCATAACAACAGCTGGGTGTTTTACTTACACACTATATGTTCTATAACATAACATCCTAGTTCCTAAAAATCACAACACCCAGCAAAACCGTAGGCACAAGGCTTATGGGAAGTGGGGCTTGGGACACAGACTCAAAAACATTGCCAGTGACACATGCAAATAAAAAGTTTAATGAAAATGGTAGCATAGTTTTACACATGTTAAATGATTAAGAAATAAATACTATGACAGGGCTTTTTCCTTTGTCACGGACCTGAGGTTAGATTGTGGAAGCAGGCATGTGGGTTCTTGTGAAGAGGTGGAAGGAGAGTTCCCTGCAGTCAGGTGGAC